CAACGCAGCCAATCAGTTCCTATTGTGCAAGCCCATTTTCCACTGACTGGCTCTGACTATAAAATGGGTCATGTTGACATGCCTGGGTGTGCTTGAGAGTATAGGAAATCTTACTAACACAAAAAAATCTGTCTCCAAATTAATAAAGAAGGACCTAAACTGAGGCGCAGAATCTTACCTGAGATAAAATTACTGAGATTTTATCGCTTATAACGGTAAGTAAGTATTTCCATATTAAGCAACATTATAGTGGCTTTTAATTGCTGGAACAACATGTAATATGTTTTCATGCCTATAAAAGATTATATTAATGCACATTAAAAAAGTATATTGTATTACAATATTGACATTGTTTTTAACTGATAATTTCACTTGACAAAACAAACAGGTAATAAAAAAAGAAAGATTATAAACCTTTATAAAGTTACAAGTCTCTTTTCAAAGACATTTATTACCTGTCATTGAAGACTAACATAATGCATGACGAAGTGGGAAACGGTACATAATGGTAGTTGATTAGCTACTCTTGCTGCATTATTTTTTAGCTTGCCTTCTCCATTTCTTTCACGTGAGAAATATTACGAAGTTACTTATTAACCAAAATGACCCCGACAGGATGTGTGTGTGTGTGCTTTCAGGAAGTGATTACGTCTTGAAATCTGTTATGATAAAAGTTCTTGACTTTGCTGTGACATTTTTTGTTGCGTAATCAAGTGTTGTAAAGCTGAGAATATACCTTGGAAACAGTACACTGTATAACATTTAATGTAAAATCAACAGTAACTTACTGGCAACAAATATCCAGCAAGCTTCAGTATTTTATTCCACAGTAAAATTGCTGTAAACCTGACTACAGTAGGTCACAGCATACTGTATAATAACTTACAGTATATTTATACTGTAAAATTAATTACAGTTCTTGTTTTTGTACTGTATTTTAAAATCCTGTTACGATGCAGTATAGGTAGATTTTATATTCACATATACACATATGCACACAACTAACTACAATCTGTTACATCATCAAGTTAACAGTAATATAAGGATTACTGTAAATAACCTCCCACTTTTTTTCTTCTTCACAGAATAGCATAAATTGTAAATAGTTCAACAGTATGACAGCTGGAAATGCATCAATAATACTGTAAAAGCGATAAAATTTACAGACACTTACTGTAAACTGTTTTTACAGTACACTTTCACTGATAAAACAGCAAAAATACACAGTTTTCAAATGAATCTGAATAATGTAAGCTTTTGAGAATGTGTTTCAAAGTGCAAGTTTTTGAAAACGATACCGTTATTGTCTCTGTCTAAACAACAAAAGCCCGAATTTGTGGAAACGGTAACGTCACGTGCATACGTATTACGTGTTCCTTTACATAGTGACATCGTCAACAACTGGCCTGGGAGGCATAACACCGCATTTTTAGTCGTTTTTGTGGATATGAACAGAGATCTTTTCGACAACGTTTGTACGTGAAAACACGTGAAAAAACAGAATGGCTTCACAGAAATGAATATTCCTGCCAGTATCATTATTATGACCATGAACTTCCATCTAAATCTATTCTTAAAATCTCTTCAGTTGATCAGAATGGTTCCGATTGGAAAGTCACTAGTCTTTCTCTGTATGCTGATTGGATGGTCACAGGCCTTTCCATACAATGATGTCACCAGTGAGGATAAAGCAATGAAAGATGTTGACAAGGTAGAGAAAGAAAGACAAGATGCTATACTGAGAGTAAGTGCCTCATTTCCTCATTTCATCTGCACTGATGTATGCTGATTCCCTACTCAATATTAGTTTTATGCTACAGTGTAAGTTAAACACATATTTAATGGAAAGAAATATCATTAAGCTATTATTTCTCTTTAGGTCGCAGATTTCACTCCACCAGTATGCCGTGTGGTAAATGAGAGTTTGGATTGTCCGTTGTCATGTCGAAATGCAAGCTGGGAAGTGACTTACATCATGTCAGATGGTGCTGGATCAGGAATTGATCAGCCCTCTTTGTCTGCCACTGACTCCAGTGAATTCAACACTACCTTTTTCATCTACATTAATACAACTGTAGATGAAAATGGCTACAATGCAACCATTGTGAAATATATTGGTTCCTGTTGCTTCAAAGATGTGGAGATTAGTGTGACAGACAAGGCAGGAAACAAAGCAAAGTGCCCTTTTAATATAAAACACCCTGATGTGACAACAATCAGTCCAATGACTGTCAAACCCACATCCAGTAGCTCTACCACAACCATCTCTCTTTGGTCAAGTTTAACACTGATGGCACTAAAATCTTTACTGTTTTAACATGGATGTGCATTGTATGGTATAGTAAACTGTGACAGTAAAACACTTTTTATTCCTTATCTAAATGCAATCATGTAGTTTCACTATTTATGTTGCTGTACTGTAGCTTTCGAGAATAAAATCAAATTTGTGGAAGTATGTGTACAGTACTTTTATACATTCTAATTTTTGTTGTACGTTATAAAGTTTTACTTTAAGCATGTTATATCACAAAGTTCATAAGTTTAGGATACAGCTAAATGAGGCATCACATGATAAAACACTGTGGTAATTTATAATCATTAAAATATTCTTTAGTTTATAGGTGTCCTAGTTCTCCCTGCCCTGCTAAAGGTCCAAAAATATAATAAAATCAGGATCACACACCTTAGATTACAAGCAATTGATGATGTGAACTTCAGAATGCTTGGTTAAGACTCAGCCTTCCTTTGCCATGCTTTGTTTGTCAAAATTAAACAATATATCTGTCCTTTTTGACATGATCGGTCTGAAGAACTAGAGATTTTGGTAAAGAACGTACCAAATAAAGTACTCAGTCATGGCAGTGTCGCAATACAGTGGTTTAAAGGTGCAATGTAAAAAAAATGGAGTATCTATTAACAGAAATGCAATATGACATTCATAACTATGTTTTCAGTGGTGTATAAAGGACTAACTTAATAAACCTTAATGAGAGTTTCATTGGTAATATCATTGTGTAACAACTTGTTAGCTTGCCCTGGACCAGGTTAGTTTCCCAGCATAAGTTGCAAGAGTAACTGAGTTTGAACTATTTTAAGTTTCTTTATGAAACAAAATCAACCGAAAATAAGTCTGACAAACCAAAATAAGCCTGGCTTGTATTTTAATCTTGTTCTATGGAACAAAACTCTCAGGTTCCAACAAAACCCTAAGAAAAACAGTTTCAAAATAATGTAATTTCAAGTCTGATATTGTGATATTTGTCCAAATATAATTAAAAGATCATCCAAACATAGGCTAATTGAATGATGTTAAAGAGACATGACTGCCCTCTTGGATTAAGATAAGCCTACTTCATTCAACTTTTCGTATTTAGAGTAAACGTGTTTTATTGGGTTATAGCGCCTCCAAGTGGCCAAGCCCGACTAAGTATTTCTGTGTCCATTGATTGAAGAGTTTCACATAGATAAAGTAAACTAAAAAAGTGCTATTAAATAGCAGGAAAAAGTCAAACATACCTTCATTTAGCAATCTTGACCTGATGGTCCTGGCAAGGCTTACAAAAGCAAGTGCATGGTTGCTTAGTTTATTTATACAAAGATCTTTTATTGTTTTTGTGATAAGGATGTGATCATTTATTTCCCTATGGCCTATATTTAAAAAAAAAAAAAATTTAATTAACATCATCAAAACTAAACTGCCCTACAAAGCAAAAAGGCAGTAACTGCATTTTTGGTCAAACAGTTGTTATTATTATTTTTATGACATTCAAAGCATCCTTTGTTATGTGACAAAACATCTTATGTCAAATGTGTGTCGTTTTGGAGAAAAATGGTAGTCGTTTGTACAGTAACTGCAAAAAGTCAGAGTTATAGTAATTTTTCTCAGTTCTGCACTCTGCGTAGTTACTGCCTTTTTGCTTTGTAGGGCAGTAAACCTTATGTTACTGTTTAATATCAATAAATCTAATTTAGGTCCTAATGCATTATTTAGTTATGGTAAAGTAACTTTTGGTCCCCTGGATGAGCAGCGGTTTAAAACAAAACTGCATGCATTTTGTGGAAAAAACATTCTATTGGTTGTGCTTCGGCTCTTCATGACTATAACTGCAGATTAATATGGTAATCATACTGTTTATAAATTAAATATTATTCCCAAGTCCAGATCTTTGACTTCATAAGTGATTTTTCTATTTAATTTGTCATTTTAAGCCTTAAGTAGGGTTATCAATAAAATGTTCAAACAAAAATAGAATTGCACACTATATTCTAGTAACCTAATAAAAATGCATCAGTTGCCTATAATATCGTTATTGGTATACATGACATCCCGTTGAATTGCAGTACTTAAGAAAAAAGTAATTGACTTAACAAAGAGCACCTGTCTGTTATTTTTTACTTACTGTTATAAACGATGAAACCTCCAATGGAAAGTGAAATCTCAGGCAGCAGATCTGTGTCCTTTCTGAATTATTTTGTTGAGATGTTTCAGTCCTGTTCAGACACACTATTTCAGTGGAGCATAACTTGCACAACATTGAAACTTCAAATCAATACTAAACCTGTTGTCAATGTTTAACACATTCAGACTCTGGGTTCATTCTAACAAATCGCACTTGCAGTAGTGTTTTAGAGTACTTTAGGCTAGAATAGTTATTGTTGCAAAAGATTGTTGAGATTCACAAATAAGAAGGTCAAGAAAACAGCACAAAATCCAACATCACACATCACCTATATCACAAGTAGTTGTTTGGGAGGTTTCAAGAAAAAATCATCTGCCATGCACCTGAACCCTATTGAAAACTTAAGCGGAAAGCGTATCAAGTTGGACTTGGGAATAATATTTAATATTAATTTCTAGGAGCAACTCATAGATATACTTAGCAGTGTGCACTGACTCTAATAATAGGCTTGCTATACACTCTAAAACACTACTGCAAGTGCGATTTGTTAGAATGAACCCAGAGTCTGAATGTGTTAAACATTGACAACAGGTTTAGTATTGATTTGAAGTTTCAATGTTGTGCAAGTTATGCTCCACTGAAATAGTGTGTCTGAACAGGACTGAAACATCTCAACAAAATAATTCAGAAAGGACACAGATCTGCTGCCTGAGATTTCACTTTCCATTGGAGGTTTCATCGTTTATAACAGTAAGTAAAAAATAACAGACAGGTGCTCTTTGTTAAGTCAATTACTTTTTTCTTAAGTACTGCAATTCAACGGGATGTCATGTATACCAATAACGATATTATAGGCAACTGATGCATTTTTATTAGGTTACTAGAATATAGTGCGCAATTCTATTTTTGTTTGAATATTTTATTGATAACCCTACTTGAGGCTTAAAAATGATAAATTAAATAGAAAAATCACTTATGAAGTCAAAGATCTCTTATGAAAAGTGATTTAGGTTATTACCTGTTATTCATAATATGGTGAAGCTGGAAATAGCATTCCAGTGTATAATTCAGAATGTCCCAAATACATTTTAATTGTAATATTTGTAGGGCCTATCAGCGTCAAGTGATTTTTTTCAGTAAATATATGAATGGATTTGTAGTACATAGTTAGTATGAAATAAATGGATTTTGTTTCACTTTTATTTATTTTCAGTTTTATTTATGTATATATTATGCATCCATGTCTACATTTATTTATTTATTTATAAATGTAGGCTATTTATACATGTATTGCTCTGTATGCTAATATTTGGGGGGGGGGGGTAACAGACACTTTTACACGAAAGCACGTCAAATTATCCAACAAAATGTTATGCCATGCATTGTAGATCTGTTAACTGTGTTAAAATCTGTAAAAATGCTAACTGCATTTTTAATGTATCTTCCAAAAACAATGTTGACAGCAACAAACTTTTCTATAAAGAGGTGATATTTCCGCTAAATTGATTTCCTGGGGCATTTTTAAAAACCTTATTAAATAGTAGGCTATATGCGCCATACACATGGAGTACCAGATATGGTAATATATTACATACAGTATCTTTTACCGTCTATGCCTATACTTCGAATGTCAACAAGAAGAGACGTCACGCAACATCGCATTTTGTTAAAGTTATCTTTTTTTAAATATCTTCATGTTAAAATTAAAAAAGTTAACTTATTGATCAATAAAATTGATTTAAAAAACTAGGAAAAGAGGAGGAAACAGAACAGATTTTTAACAGCACATGTGGAATGTTTTAATGTTAAATAAATTAATTCTCCTGCCAATAAAAGCATTCACTTTTAAAATATTTCTTCAAACCTCTCCACAGCTGATCAGTATGGTTCAGATTGCAAAGACGCTTATCTTTCTCTGCATGCTGATTGGATGGTCACAGGCTTTTCCACACCGTGATGTCACCAGTGAAAATGAAGCAATGAAAGATGCGGACAGGGTAGATGGAGAACAAAGAGATGCTATACTAAATGTAAGTACATTTGTTTGTTGTATGTGTATTTTAAACTGCTGCAAAATGTGCATCTTAACTTTTTTCAGTACACTTTCCTGCCAATTCATTATACTGCTCCAAGTTAGCAATTACTATGGTATTTAATTGAAACAAATAACATTTAGTTTCTGTTTAGGTCACTGATTTTACTCCACCAGTGTGCCATGTGGTAAATGACACTTCAGACTGCCTTTTATCATGTGGAAATACAAGTATGGAAGTGACCTATATCATGACAGATGGACCTGGTTCAGGAATAGATCACACCCGTGTTTCTTCCTTGGGTGGGGCTTCTAGCATATTTACTCAATATGATGGACTAGATGAAAATGGCTACAATGCAACCCTTTTTCATTATTCTGGGATCTGCTGCCTTGACGAAGTGGAGGTTTCTGTGCTGGACAAAGCAGGAAACATAGGAAAGTGTCCTGTTATTGTAAAACGTGTCAGGCTATGACTTTAATTTTCTCATCGCTCCTCAACCTCAATAATGTCTTTTTGGTCAATACTGATGGCATTTATGCTGTTCTGAGGTGTACGTAGCTAACGTTACATGAAAAATGTACTTGTATAATTATTCTGACAATGCATTTTTAAGTAGGCTACAGTTAAAGTACTTGATGATGTCAACATCATTAAGTCAACGCTTTGATGAATGCCATAATAATACATGAAAATGTGATTCCTTGCCAGTATTTTTAATTTATTCTAATTCTTTTTCTGCATTCATGTAGTTCCACTATTTGTGTTGCTGTAGCCTACCATTAGGAAATAAAGACAAACTTGTGAAAGTAGCAGTCTGTTTCTAAATTGTATTCTACTTAGTGAAGTTCACAACATAAGGAGGATGAGTAAACTCATCCAAGCTTTCAAATAACTGCTGAAGCATATAAGCAACCGCTCACCTTGCTCTGGCTGTATTCACATCCCTCCACCTCCACCACAAATATAATTCAGGTATCTTGCTAACATACTCATCATCCAAGCAGTAGGCTAGTCCCCGGGGGTATTCATACCAGTGTCAACACTCCCGTTTTTGCCGGGTATCTCCCGTTTTTTAGCCCCATCTCCCGGACCCCTCCCGGTTTGTTATTTCTCACGGTAAAGTCACGTAATTTGCATGACCTAAACTCCTTTATGAATAGAGAGCCGACATGATGACGTCACTTTGTAGGAGAACTCGGAAGTTAGCGGCGCAGGGTTCCCTCGATCGAAAAGCTGTGCATTTTCCCCGACTTTTAAAACTGCAAAAATCAAGATCTGTGTTCAACGTTTTGTCTATCAAGATAATCTTTACAAGATAATCCAAATTTTAAACATTTTGAAGCCTAATTTAAAGTAAAAAAAAAAACACAAGCAGACATAAAGTTTTAAAAATAAAACAAGCAGGTAACTGGTGTGTTTTATGTCATAGATCAAAATGTGAAAATATTTAGAGGCTTTGTTCACCACAGACCTTATTTCAGGCGATTTAGCAAAAACCCGTTCAAAAATCCCATAGACTTTAGAGCGAGGGAACCAGGAGTGCTAAATGCTAAACTCACTTCCACGTTTTGGCCTACAAAGAAAGTGATAACTTTGCGTCTAATGTTGACCAGTTGCCAGATCTTGTATTAAATGCATTATATTCACACAATCCACCCACCCACCATATTCAATAAAATGGTTTGTCATCTCAACCTGGCAACCTATACCCCAGTTGAGCAGTCGCGGAAAGCTCAACCCAAAAGGAGCAACCCCTCTAAGCTCCAGTTGAAGCTACATCCTCGAGCCCCGCCACTGCAGACAGCAAGCCAAATATGCTTTACCTTATTAGCATAACCAGCATCAACCAATATGAGCCTGCGTCTGACGTACAACCTAGAAGCTTTGCGCAGTTACAGTTTCTCTCATAGGGTTACAATACATGACATGTAGTGTGACATGTTTTTGCGCACAAAAAGTATTCTTGTCGCTTGATAAACTTAAGATTGACCAACTGTAGTCACTCAGACAATTTTAACAATATTAAACTTTTCTGGGCCATCAAGTTTCGATCTCTTAGAAGCCTCTGGACGAGTGAGACAGCCCTCAAATTTAATAAAAAATGCCTTAATTTGTGTTCTGAAGATGAATGAAGGTCTTACGGGGTTGGAACGACACGAGGGTGAGTAATTTACAGACAGACTTTTCATTTTGGGGATCTAGCACTTTAAGTCTTGATTGTCAATGTATCATGAACTGTTTTTGTATCTTATATATCACATTGCAACAAGTAGGTTACTTGTCACTACAATAGAATTAACACAGCTGCTCATTGAGTATTATATATGTATATTAGTCTTTACTCATGTGCCATCCACAACCCAACCACCTATTCTTCAGCACAATGGTAACCACAAACTTCAACATGACAGAAACTCTTTTAAAAATCACACACCTAACCCTAATACAAAGATATTTTCCTTTACTCAGAAACTCTTAATTTCAACTAAATAAAAGTTTTAGACCACTGTCTAGTTTCAGTTAATGCAACAAAAATGCTTTAGGTAGTCCTAACACAAATGGATTAAGTAACATTACATATTTAAATGGATTGAACAGAATAAGTAGCCACTAACACAGTGTTTAGTGTTCATTTAACTCATTTTAATCAAGTAAATTGTACAAACAGCAACAATCATTTAAATCAAATCAATTAAGTTTATTATCTTCCTAGGTTTCTAGTCTTGTAATTGTAATATTGTTCTGTTTATTAGTCTTGTGTCACTGGTTTATTTTTAGTTTTTTATTTCTTGTATATAACCCTAATTTTCCTCTTGTCTGTGGTCTAGCTTTTGCATAGAACTTTCATCTTTTAGTGTGTGTCTTGCAATTAATTTTTGATATGTTTTAGCTTACCTCAAGGGCATCCAAGATGTATGTGTCTTTGTTTCCACAGCATTTTCAATTTTGACATTTTTTGGTCAAGCCGTTGTTGTCTGTCAGTCATATAATTCAGTTTTAGGGGTTCCACCTCAAAGAGCATGCACAGAGAAGTCAAAATTAAACATGATATAAGTACAAATGATGGTCACACGAAACGAGCGGTTTGTGTGAGAAAACGAACAGTATTTATATATTTTTTACCTCTTGTTAACAGCCGTCGAACTGATCTGAATCAGATGTCCAACTGAACCGGCGTCTCCAGACGTTACACCGGAAGTGATCTTTCGCGCGTTCACGTCACGCATTGTTTAGACGGAGATTTCGGAAGTTTTGCCTTTCACTAAACATATTAGATATATCGAAATCGTCTTCCATTCCATTATAGGACTGACAGACAACAACGGTTTGACCAAAAAATGTCAAAATTGAAAATGCTGTGGAAACAAGACACCTACATCTTGGATGCCCTTGAGGTAAGCTAAAACATATCAAAAATTAATTTCAAAGTGAACCATCCCTTTAAGATTAGACTTATGAATCGTATCTCTTTACAATAAACTGCACTTGGTTTATTAACATTGACGTGCTGGAGTGGACATATTGTTAGAGTGTTCGAGAATTGCATTTGCTATTTTCCAGTGAAGTATGACGAGGTCCAACATTTCAATTCACATGATGTCCACTAAAGATCGCGTTTTCAACATATAAATAGTAGAAATTAAGGGGTGAGTAGATCCTTTAAATTAATGCTATAATGTAAATCTTAGAAGGAGAGCTGACACAAAAAAAATCAACTACCTGAAACATGCATAAAATGTATACATTTGATAAATGAATGCAAACAGTTTTTTTTTTTCAAATTAAGAATCAAATTCTTTAGAAAAGTCTGATGTTGAGATATTTGTCCAAAAATGATTGAATGATTCCAATGGTAGCCATCACAATTAGGAATAACAGGACAGACAGCATGAAGAAAAACCCTGGCAACCGAGAAACAACAGCAAGAATGGTCTGTAATATATTATGACTTGACAGAATATAAATAATACTATATAAACAAATGTTTTGATTATCAAATATTTTGATTATCACCTTCTTTTGGATTCCCTGATATAGCCAGTAAAGTACATCTCCCTGCCCACAATATATATGATTCCTCCAAGAGCAGCAAGCACTATAAAAAAGGGGAAAATGATGACCTTTTCATTTAGTTATAAAATGGTTTCTTATTTTTATTTATACACCATACATTTTGTGTAACTATATCATTGTATAAATATATAAATATACATACATAATATACTAACATACCTTCATTGCAAAAGATGCCAGAGATCCACAATACCGCCAGGAAAATGGAATAAAACTCTACACTATTCTGGCTAAAGAAATGGTGGAAAGACATATTTGTGACAACTTGCCAAAGTAGATTTCATATTTGACTGTTAATGAATGAAATTGTGTGAGTGAGAAGTGTGTAGACGCATCATTGAAGCAGTTTGGCTGTAATGATCTTTGATCTTACTGTGCACGAAATGTCCTTTCAAACTCAGGTGGTCCAGTAACAGTGGGTGGCATAATTTTATGCTTCATCCTCGACCACCCCACACGTCTTGCCTGAAATCCTAAAATATTCAAATCACTGTTATTCAGCCACACCATTTTACCACATTATAACAAATTTTTAAAAAAAAATGAATGAAACATATCTGACATGTGATTTCAAATATAAAGTATTAGCTTGCTAATCATACAAACATACAATACGAGAAATTATTATTTATTATTAATTATTATTTATACACACACATATACAGTTTCTATAGTGTATAAAGTTGGGTATCATAGTTTTACCACGATTCTCGGTCCCACCCACTCCCCCTGACATTTTTTCCTTTCCTGTTCGAATCCCATAGTAATTTTGTTTCCCCTCCCGCGGGATTCCCGAAAATATATCAGCCTCTAAAGCACTATGTATATAATAACCTTTATTAGTTTTTAAGGGTGTCTTTTTTTATTAGGTCACTTGCAGTGCAGTGCACGTTTGTTGTATGGTGCAGAAGTTAAGCTACTTAACGTTACCCATGTGGAGAGCAGATAGCATTGTCACTCCGGCGAGGAGAACTGGCAGATCCGAAGTCATAATTGTGGTTCGAAACAGTTCCTTATTTTGATAGAGTTAAGCACGGAGATGTGGAGTTAGATCCGTGTATCGCCTGTTGCAGACCTCCTCCTGTTTCTAAGACCAGGAAGTAGGCTACTGGTCTGCAAAAGGTGTTGCATCATGACTCATGTCGGACTATGCACTTCGCCTTTCCAGACAAATAGCAGTATGAGTTGGGATTAAGAAGAAAGGATTGCATTAGCCTATGTCTCGTGGGCGTTTGGACCTTTGATCTACTTCCATTCGATTAAAATTTACAAAGACAACAGGTGTTTGTTTTTTTAGAGAGCATGGAGAACACAAACAGTGTTTTTAACGATTCGTTCGTTCGAAGAGTCATCTGAGGATGTCATTTGGGAGTAATACTTTAAACAGTATTTCACAACAAAAAGCACAAACGCATAGTGTTGACACGTGACAATTTCAGCTTTACCAGACTCTTGAAATTGTCACGAGTATTTTAGTCCGCATCAACTGACAAATAAGTTAACCAGTGAACCGATTCGCTCAAATGATTCAGACTTCCCAGCGCTCTGAAATCAGTGCTGGCCATAGGTGCTGGCGCTCGACGTTGATGACGTCAGACACTGTGCGCCGCTGTAGCTTCTGCGACAAATAGACAGGCAAATAAAACAGCTTGCTTTACTTCTAATAAACAACAGAGGAAGCACAAACATGGACAGCGATGATGACAATATGGAAGAAGTGGTGGAAGGTACGATAAGCGTATTCACAAACGATGCGGTGTGCGTAACTTTGTTTTTGTCGTCTCGTCCTCAGGCTGAACTTTATGCATTCTCATTCCTCCGAAGAGTATCCTACCGACACCTGTCCTCTGTATGTACACAAGCTGTCAAACACACGAGGCCCGTAAGCGTTTGGACTTTTTAAAACCCCCAAATTACAGCGAGTCCTATTTCGGCTTAAGGCTCTTTAGTTAAGATTCCTTCTGAAATCCCATGAACGGAGATACTACAGTAGAAGAACATGTAACATAGTTAGGTCAATTATGTTTACTTGAAATATATTTCATTTTATTGCATTCACTTACACTTTGTACAATTCATATATACTCTTTTTATTTATATATAAATTGGATTTATAATTGCATGGATGTAAGTAAGTGTCGTGTTGACACAATCCAGAGATTTTGCTATGTCAAGTATCTACCTGAACTGATTAACCTGGGACATTACTATTAGTGTTATTTTTAGGTATAGAGTGTATTAGTTACTCATTAAAGGGACAATGTGTAGGAATTTCTCCCATCTAGCAGTGAAAATGTATTTTGCATTCAGATGAATTGTGCTCCCCAGCGCCTAGCCATTATGAACCTAAAAGCTATGACAGGATGTCTTCTCATAGCACTTCGTCGAGTATTCCTATGGGTGAACAGGTTTGTTATTTAAAACAAACAGCAACTAGACACAACGAACAAACGAATGTTACAGTATGAATTACTGACTGTGAAAAACGTGAACTATTGTAATAAGTATTTATGCCTTCTTTATTATATTTATTTATTATTTATTATATACCTGTCGAGAAAAAAGCTGGACTTCAGCGTCTCTTTTGAACTCTTTTTCTCTGAAAAGATGGCAGAACTACATGGAAGACACTTACCTCCGTGGACCTACCCGTCCCATGTATATAAAAATAATAAATTCTTTGTTTACGAGGATAGGTCAGATAATTGTCAGATGTATTTGTACACCATTGATGACATATTCATGAATAAAAATATTGATTTTAAATAATAAAATGCATAAAAAAGTACACATTCTCCCTTTAATCTATTATTTTGCTTCTCTCTGTCTACCATGTCATGACTTTTTAGGGCCACTGGATGAGGATGACCAGCCTCATGGTTTCTGTACTGTGACCTACTCCTCCAGTGACAGATTTGAGGGACACTTTGTTCATGGGGAGAAGAATGGAAAAGGAAAATTCTTCTTTTTTGATGGCAGGTTTGAGAATTGTGGTGTATGTTGGCACCATTGTTAAGTTTATTATTGATTTTTTCACTGTATGATTTAAATTATGGAATATTAATCACTTGATTAGTATTTAACTATCTCAATCATTCCAACTCGAAATAGATTTATAATGGGATTTTATTGATAAGAATGTATTGTAAGAAAGAATTCAAGGCGGAATAAATTATGAGAATCTTTGGGTGAACTATTCCTTAAGTGCACATGCATCATCACCAGCAGTCTTGAAAGCTGTCAAAGATAATAAGTTTCAGAATTTCCTTTTCCTGATTCTATTTGCTTTTTTTTGGTGTACTATTTTTTGTACAATTACATACTAAAAAGCTTATTTGGATCAATTTAATTATAGCACATAACTAAATATAATCATTTTTCACCTGCATATTACCTTTTTTCCCCTTTATAGTATGCTGGAGGGTTTCTATGTGGACGATGCTTTGCAGGGCCAGGGCATTTATACTTACGAGGATGGAGGAGCATTACATGGGACTTATGTAGATGGCGAGCTCAATGGACCTGCTCAAGAGTTCAATCCAGATGGTCAACTAGTCTTCAGGGGCCAATACAAGGACAACATTCGCTGTGGCATGTGCTGGGTCTACTACCCGGTTTGTTTTGCCCTACATCAAACATGTTAAAGAACCAGTTAATTCTGTCAAGAACATTTGTTATTATTCCATAACATATTACATTAGGAACATGAACAGTATTGAAAAGCTCATAGTTTTGCTTTTCTTTTCTGTCGTCTAAAGGACGGCGCCTGCGTGGTGGGGGAAGTGAATGAAGATGGAGAGATGACAGGAAAGGCAGTGGCTTATGTTTACCCTGATGGGCGTACAGCTCTGTATGGCTCATTTGTTGATGGAGAACTGATTGAGGCCCAACTTGCCACTCTTACCACTCAAGAGAATGGCAGACCACAGTTCACTATTGATCCAGACAGTTAGTAGTACTTTTATCTAGACCCTCATATGTCTTAGCTGAAACTGTTTACCCGTTGATGCAAATTAAAAGCTCTAAATCTAAAATTGTTATAGGATAACCTTTCTTTTCTGACTCTCTTAGGTCCCGTTTACTGTTATGACAAATCCACCTCGTCGTGTATCGCCAGCCATAAACTGTTGCCTGACCCTTACGAAAGTCAACGGTTGGTGCAAGCTGTGATCAACCATGTAAACCTCAAGCTATCAAATCTTGTTTTGAACAGAAAACATGTACTTGTTTGTTCCAGTGATGGATTGTCTGGTCTTGTCATTTCAGTGGGGGAGATTCAGTTGGTTCTCTAGTCTCAATACATTATTTCTTATGTTTTCATCTTGTTGATTGAAGCTGAAAGGTGGTTTTCTTTTGGTTTAACAGTGTGTATGCAGGACTTTCACTTATTTCCGGAGCTGGAGAAGGGCTATTTGCAAAAACTAAGGCTGAGGCTAACACGGTGATGGCTTTTTATAACGGTGTCCGCATTACACATTCAGAGGTTTGTTTGTTTCCAACTTACATTATTCAATGCCAGAATGTAATACTTAAAAAAAAAATTCTAAAATCTGCTAATGTTTTAATTAACAGGTGGACAGTCGGGACTGGTCCCTAAATGGGAACACTATTTCATTGGATGAGGACACTGTGATTGATGTTCCGGAACCTTTCAATCTGACTGAGAATTATTGTGCATCTCTAGGTCACAAGGCCAATCACTCCTTCACTCCCAATTGCAAATATGACTCGTGAGTGTGAATGTATGTTTTAGAAATATACAGAGACAATGTGCTTTTGTTTTTCTATGTTAATCTGAGTAGCATTTTGTTGGATATTTCAATACAAACGAATCATATTTTTCGACAATATTGGATTAGTCATGTAACCATTGTACTAACAGCGGTTTTTACCTGTCCAGATATGTCCATCCTCGTTTTGGGCAAATAAAATGCATCCGAACAATCCGTGCCATTGAGAAGGATGAAGAACTCACTGTTGCTTATGGTTATGACCATGAGCCATCAGGGAAGTCTGATCCAGAAGCACCAGGATGGTACACAAAGCAATTGCTGGAGTTTCAACAGAGGGTGTCAGGAAAAGGGGCTGACGAGACCTACTAAGACCCTTTTCACCACTGCTGAAAAATATGTTATCTCCCATCACAGCCTGCACCTACCACCAGAAACTCTAACTTTGTTCTTTGACTATCACAAGCTAACAATTTGAAATAATTGTACTTTTGAACTGATTTCTGTTATCCTCATCCATTTACAAGTATTTTAACTGAAATCCTTCCTCAAGGTGTCACAATTCTTTGGTTCTACTGTTCTACATTGTGGAAGGACCTGGTATGTGTCAGTTAGTGACCGAGTTGGTTGCATAAATAAGAGCAAGTGATTTTAAAAGTATTTTGACTAAAATCTATGAAATGGAGTAGAGTTGGAAAGTTTTAAAGACTATTGTTACTATTTCTTGAAGTATTCAACCTCTTTACCACAACTTGTGTTGACCATGCAGTATTATATAGTGTCTTTTGCTGCTCGGCTCATGTTTCCACCACAAAGTACAATTATAAATTTATTGTTATTGTCTCTATTATCATGTACAAACAGCTACAGTTAAGTTCATATAGGCTCTAGTTGTCTTGAAGAACAGTGTTATACAGACGAGGCCCTTTATTTATTTATTATATTTTTACGTTTTTTTCACATACCAAGAGTACAATGAAAAATCTACACCACAAAATAAAATGTAAGTAAATTGTGATTTGTATGTTGGGAAAAGACAGAACAGAGTGTATCTGAGGCACAAGGTGAAGAGAAATCTTTCTACTGATCTGAACTTCAGCCTTTATTATGCAAAAGCTACCAACAATGATTTATCAATAAAACTCCAACATATGGCACAAGTTCATTTGACTCATCTTTTCAACGTTCCTAGTTATTATATAGGAGGGATGTTATGAAATGTATAAAATATAACTATATTAAATAATAATAAATATTTTCTTTATGCCAAAATGCAGGAGTATTTAATGCCAAAGTAATCAGGTCAACACTCGCTGTAAATGTCCACACAATGGGGGCGTGGTCATCGTGCTGCACCTGCGCGCGCCCCAGGTAAATGAGTGACACGCTCGGCTTTACCGCTTTCTTAACAAAGCGGCCCGGAAGTGATACAGGGAAAACGGCATAGGTAAATACGCAATATATTCTAATTTAAAGAATTTATAAATTACTTTATATTGCGCTTGGCATTGCTTCAGAATGGCGTTTAGCATAATTAGGTTAATAAAGTGGTTTTGTAGTCCCAGAATCAACCCAAACGTGGAAAGCGATAGTGACTTACTGCAAGTCAGTAACTTTAGGGATAGTATAAGGATCCAACTCCGTTTAGAGACATGATAGTTAAAGACATTTCTCTTTTAAATAATATTTATGGACCTAAAACTACTGTTTGATTCTTCTGTCCCCGCTGAAGGCCAGAGATGGACCGTTACAGGTATTTCATCTTCAATCAGAAGAGTGTGGTGGTCCTCGGCATCCTTCAGGTGGCGTGCGCGGGGCTTTGCGTGGTTTGCGGCTTTATGGACGCAGTTTTCCGAAAGAGCACTACTTTGAGTGAAACTAGGGCTCCACTCTGGGCTGGACTGGTAAGAAAGCTAAACACTTATTTTTATTTATTCTAAAATGGCTTCCCCAGTATGCCAGAATATTATCATGTTCCGTCTCAGGAAGGTCACGTAAAAAATGAGTTCTGTCGAATGCCTTTCAAAATAAATCACATTTCACAATATTATAACCTTAACATGTTTTTCTTTTTCTCACTGCTGCTGAATGGGGTTGCATTCATTAATTTATGAACCATTTATTCATTATTAACCATTTCAGTAGACCCAATTCTATGGGCCATTTCTCGCCCACCATACACAAGAGACTTCATGAACGATTTTCCGGGGTAGTTTGCCTTGCCAGGTCTTTCCCCAACCCTTCCCATTACATGTTTTGGGACTCACTCACATTCCTTTGGACAATTTAGCGTCTTCAATTCAACCTTGTGGGGGAAACCAGGGGAAACCCACACAGACAGGGAGAACATGCAAACGCCACACAGAAAGGCCTCCTGGTTCAAACAGGGACCTTTTTTTGAGGTGACAGTGCTACCCACTGACTGAGCCACTGTGAAAGTGGTTTAGAATTAACGTAAAACTGATTTGTAGTAACAGAAGATTATGCACATGATCATAAAGAAGATTAGGCTTAGGTGGCTCACTTGAACCGCTTTCACCTTATTGGCACTGATTCTGTAAAGCTCATTTTACTCTTCCCTCCTCTTTTAGATTATGGCTGCACCTGGTGTACTTGCCCTTTTTGCATCTCAGAAGAAAAACCCTATTTTGGTAATATTTTTTTTTTTGTGAATTTATCAAGACAGTTGTCTCTTTCCACCTGTTGATTAACACACGCTCATTAATACTTTAAGGTAAACGCCATGATCGTCTCCTCTGTGGTGTCGCTTTTTGCTGTTGTGATTGTCTTTGTTTATGCCTGCATCACTCTCAGCTACGGAGAGGAGGATAATGAGATCTTCCATGCCCATCCTATCCCTGAAGTGGTACAGTCACACCAGATCATTTTTTAATCTGCTATGTTATACCCTTTAGCTTAAAATATAGAAATAATTGATGTAGCTGTGTCCTGTGTAGAGGGTTGTACTCAGCCGGATGGTAAAAGGCGCAAACAGCACCCTTCTGGTGGCCTGCACGGGGTCTCTGCTCTTTTCTTCTCTGATTATATACGTTGGCTGTCGCAGTCTGCCGCTTTGCGGCTGCTACAATTCGGCAAATGGCATGGTGGGTGAAGTCTTTCATAAAACAAGGAAGTTCATTAGAAAATTGCAATATGTACAGTAAAAGTTAATATACAGTACACAATATTGAGCTGTTCATCACTTCATGGTTGGGTATTTTACAGGACTTTCTAGTTCCTCAGAATGATCCTGTTACTCCAACTGAACTCATATGCACTTGGCAAGGTACGTGTTGTTGAACTGGGTTTGTACACTGAGATAAATCATATTTCATGAGACATCTTCCACATGAGCCAAAATGTATTTCATTATGATGATGTTAGTGAGGATGTGGCTGAATATAATGAGATTAATTTTTTTCTCATGCAGATGGAGAAGAGCGAATCTTTAGCTCCCCCGTGTCATTCATGGATCGCTGTCCTGAGCAGGAACAGCAAGACCTCTCCACACTTCCACCATATAGCAGACTAACTTAGTAATTTTTTATTATGTGTGTGACTGGGCAAAATATGAAATACTGGGAAATTCAGTTCACTAATTTGTGTGTAAAGTGTAAAATGTCCAAATTTCATCGAGCTTGCTTGTTTCAATTCTACTTAAATGTGTTTCTTGATGTTTAAGTTATTATCAGTGCCATATCGATTTTAAATTATATTTTAATGTTTTTTTTCTACACACATATGCCATCGCTTCATACTTTTTTACATCATAGACTGATATTTTTTGCATAAATAAACCTGTAATATATATATTATTTTACAATAAACAATTATTACAAATTAAGAATTCTATACTATTTGCCTCTTTATGGATCTAAAACTGCAACCTATTGCTTTTAAATGGATGTTCAGACTAATAAAACTAATCAGAAATTTCATTTGGACTATGCACTTCATGTTGGCACCCATCTCAAACACAAAACAGTATTGTTTTTGAGATGCGTTTCAGTTCATTACTTTAAAAAGAAGTTCATAGTCTAACGAGAATTGATTTCGCATATGCACTCTTTAATTGGATAAATAAGGCACAACATTCTTCTGAAGTTCAGATGTGGGACTTTATTTCTTAGTAAAACATTAACTGTTAAAATCAAAACCGTAACAAGCAAGATTTCTTTTGCACTCCTTTGATTACAGTAGATGGATGGTTTGTTTATATTGTTGACATGGCTATCACTTTCACTCAACTCACTATCCAACATTGAAGATTTAAGTTGTATCAGAAAAATGATTAGTAAAGATGTTGTGCATGCTTGAGTTCTGGCATTGCACTGTTGACCCCTGATAACCTACATAATTAACCTACATGTAATAATAAAGTGTCACTTTCACATTCAAAAATCTTCCATATAGTTGCTGCATTTGTAATTTTCAATCTGTAACATTCGAGATGAACATGTTGAGATCTGCTTAAATGTTACATATTAATGTGTTAATGCAAACATAAATACATAAATAGACAAACAACCCAAACCAAGAGCGTTTATCTGGAGATCAATTCAGCACGAACCTACAAAAAGTATGAATTCTCATGATGTTTCTGGCAGATAAATGATGAGATAATCCTATTGTAATCACCCAGGGTTCAAAGCACAAAAAGTCTTGACTCTTTACTATGCATTGGCCATACCATGCACAGTTCTTCAGCCAATCACATGCTCCCTTACTGTACCCCAATCAAACAATGGAACGCATCAGCTAATCTGGCCCTTAACTAACCCACTTCACAATCACATACATTTTTGGCAATTCCCCATAAAATAAATAAAACATGTCATGCCTGAGATTCTTTCATGCACTTCACAGGACCTGCTGTGTGGTTACATTAAAGAGATGAATGGATATTTCGTAATGGATTCAACTCTGTGCCGCATATTAGTGTGGGAAATAAAATAGCCAAAGGGAAAGAGATAATTTAGCCATTAGCGAGTCTGTATATTTTTTTCCTACTAAGAGATTACACATTCAAATATAGACTGATATCAGACCTTTTGTTCAGATAATGCATGCACAGAGCCATGAATAATATGAGGTAATCATACTAATCTATGATTATACAGTGCAGATAATTTCTAAGCAGTACTACATACCAAACACGACCTTAAACTCTGACGTAAATATCATCAGTGAATTTATTGTCCCTTTTTACCAAAAATTGAAATTTCAAACCAATTCACAAGGAGGACTGGATAACTCCTTACAGTTGATTTTATTCAGATAAATGAATGCTAAAACAAAAATAAGAAATTGGCAATAAATAAAACACTGACAGTGGGACATGGACTGGCTTTAAGACTTTTTAGGAAAGGCAAGGATATCAGCTTTATTTTATTTTTAAATTCATCCCTCGCTTCTCTAAGACCTATTAGCCACTCTAATCATAAATAGCCTGCATTTAATGAGTGTTTGCCAGTTTGTCCTTTTCCTCCCAACTTTCACAGGAAGCGCCTGCATGTGTGGGTGGGAGAGAGAGAGAGAGAGAATGAGAGAACAAACAACAAACACACACACTAAACCAGATTCGGCGTTTCAACTGGGAGGCTGAAGTGATTTAACAGAACAGTTTAAACTTTAATCTAATTTTGGCAAGAAAATTGTTTCAAAGATATGATGAAAAAGGCCACATCTTGTGTATGACAATTTCACTGTGCAACTGCATAACCAATTGGACTAGTAGGCAAATCTATTGAAAGTGTTTGGCAGTGGCATATGAAGCTTGTATATGTAAGGTTGGCCTACATGCAACTTGTCAAAGCTTCTGATGAGTGTTGTAGAAACGTTTTCCCTTTACATAATGGCCATATTATAATACTGGCCAATCTTGAGAATAAATGCTCCTGTGTCCTCAATCCTGGAGTTCCGCTTCACAGAGAACACAAAAGCACCTTTACATCCACTTCTCTGAAAAGTGCTTTACCTTTCATCATCTCCGTTCTGTAAAGAGGTGCCTTTTCCTTTAAACGTGTACGTCATTAGCTCCTCCAACAACCACAGCCCCAACTTCCCCTGTCCTCCTCATCCTGCCTCCTGAGAGTGACAGTATCTCCTGATCCGCATGGCGGCTGGCTTAATATCAGCGGCTTTTGAGATTTCAGCTTGTGCGCCACAGTCATAAAAATGGCCTCGACGTGGTCACTGTTATTCCGACTGCCATCGTCGTTTCCGTAGGGGTTTTTGGCAGAGGTCTCGAACAGAGGCATTGAGTGTGCATCGGCAAACTGCTGTGCTACGTCAGTGCTCACTTGTGCGGCGTGGCGCAGGTCGCATTTGTTGCCGACCAGGATTCTGGGCACCTCCTGCCCCAGGGCATGCTGACGGCACTCCTCAATCCATGCCGGAAGGCTACGGAAACTAGCGGCATTAGTGACATCGTAGACAAACACAACAGCATGGACGTTGCGGTAGTAGTGCTGCACCATACTCTTACGGAAGCGCTCCTGGCCTGCGGTGTCCCACAACTGGACCTGGAGAGGGGAAAGGGAGAGCAATTAGCTGTCACATATCTGTTCTTTAAATGTTATAGAAGAATGCAGGGTTCATGCCTAAATGAACAACACAGGCAGGTGTTATGTGAATGGTGAAGCGTGGGTCTTGTGCATGAGAGTTTTTCAAAAATGACATATAGTGTGCAACAGAGCTCTATACGGAGGTTACTATGACAGCTGGGAACGTCATTGGGGAAGAACAAGTTGTTACACCAATGCATTGCCACACTAACAAGTCTAACACTGAATTTAATTTCACTGTCTTGTTACTGTCTTTCAAATTGTATCATATTTGATGCTTGAATTTCTAAGGACTATACCTTTTCAACATGATCAAATGTTATTCTACACAATCTACTACATGCCTTCTGTGGTATGATTGATAGTCTGTAGCACTTGTGGTACATGCAACTCTGGTTTTCTGTTTTAAATGAATGCAACTTGCACTGACATATCTTATTTTGTGTCAAGAAAGATGCACACCAGTAATGTTTTTTTTCCTTCTAAAAAAGCCAATTAAATTTCCAAAAACACTGTTTGTGTTTAACATTAAATGCTATCAGAAGAACTTACTTTTTGTGCATAAAAATAACTGCTCCAAATTGCATATCTGTGCTCAATTTGGGCCTCTGAATAAAACTGAGGTATATTTTTTTCTCCCTAAGAGAATAGAATATGATACAAAACATAAAACACAAGTGCAAATAACTGTTCGGCTCCATTAAAAAAATAGTGTCAGGTTACTGTGTGAAATCAACGCACAGTGGAGTGAACAACAACAAAAACCCTATAAAATTTAAAGCATCCTCACCTTGATTTTCTCGCCGTCTATTTCAATAATCTTCTCCCGAAAATCCACCCCGATAGTGGCCTCAGTCCTGTCGGGAAACTTGCCCGCACAGAATCTATAGGTGAGGCAAGTCTTGCCAACTCCAGAATCACCGATCACGATGATTTTAAAGATTCGAGTCCGTGGGGGAGGCAGCGAAGAGCTGGTCAAAGATGAGCTAAATTCAAATGAGGACTCGATATCTGCCATGCTGTCTACCTATAGAGAAACAAGTGCCTCTTGCAGACTGACACAGTGAAAATGTACAAACGGGTCAGATAAGTGATTCAAACGCAGGCTTCGCTTAACCTTCAGCCCTTCACCTCAAGCTTCATGTACAAAACTCTGAGATTTAAACGTTGGTGAGTGTATTTGACGTAATGACCGGTACACTGTACATTTTGCTGATGCATCCCTGGCGGAGTCCTCTGTCTGTTTGGGTATGTAGCCACGTACATAGTACGTACGTACGTACGTACGACGTTGACACATAACTGTAATCTCGCGAGAAGTTACAGAGAGCTTGTTTGGTAGGCTACCCTGTTCCAAACAAACAATGCACAGAAAGAAAGAAAAAAGACATAACATAAACAAAACACTTTTGTAAACAGAGCACACACACACACAAACAAACAAACACACACAGAGACTAAATAAATATAAAAGTAACGTTAATTACATTGAATCAATTAATTGTGTAAACAACGGGGTGGAAGATTATATCACTTTCTTTCCTGTGATGATTTGATTGTTAATTTGTTATTTTAACATTGATGGAGAATGGACTAAAAAGATTCATTTGAATTCACTGATTTGTTTGCTTTAAAGCTTTGGTCAAAAACACCGATCTGTTCACGAGTGAAACCTCAATGTTCATAGTCTGTGTGGCTTCAAGTAAACACTGACACTTACCAAAGTCCAACTCTAGATTTACTAGACGACTGCTGAAAATGTTGGTAAGTTCATACAATGTGTTACTGATTTAAAACAGTAGCCTAAAACACTCAATTAAATGTTAAACTTTTATTACTAAAATGTTTTCATGTTCAAATATATGTTTGAACTTATAGCCTACTTTTAAGTGTGTCACACTGTCACTCAATGGTAACGTGCAGCACCAGTAGCCCATATGATGAAAACTGTTGTTCGGCATCAGTGTCTGTCTGGAGATCATGCAGATTTAATTTGCTGATAAATAGGTACATCAAGGTGTTGAGCTGGAAACGCCTCCCCCAGGACTGGAGAGAGAGTTTAATACTCTATTTAACTTTGATGCTCTGCAATTTCTGTCTGAACTCATTTCTACCTTCCAACCAGAGGTTGACAAGGTACCCACTATATATCATTTCTAATAGTTTTTATAGATTGTTACTCTGTTTTAAAATATCAAAATATAATAGTCACTAACAATATAGATTGCATGTTTACTCATAACAACGTTTATGTACTCTTTTGCAAGGTTTTGAACTTGAGAGTTCTCCGGAAAGTTCAATTGGATCTTACTGGAGAGTTACCAGGCTTTCTGCGGGACACAGCTCACATCCGAAATGATCCCAGCTGGAGAGTTAACCCAGTTCCAGACAGATTACACTGCAGACATGTGGACATTGGTGACCTGTCACCTTGTGATACACAACGTCTTATAATGGGACTCAAATCTACTGCCCAAGGGTTACAGGTAGGACTTAGTTGTGTCAATATGATGGTGGTCATAGACAGAAAATTATAGTGGCAAATATATAAATGCACTGAATACAGACCAGAGAAAAAACGGATTCCTGGTTGCAATTGTACTATTGTTCTGCTCTGTTGTAGGTTGATTTTGATGATGGCAACTGTCCAACATATCGCAATCAAATAAAGGGCATTTATAATGTTTACCTGGCTGTGCACAACCAATTTCAGGGTGAGTCTTATGCCATCTCTTGCTACTTTTTTATTAAAACTGTGATCTGGAAAGCATGTGTTAACAATTTGTCACATTTCTTATAAATAGATGTACCACCCATTTCTCAGGCTCCAGTACTGATGCTCCGTCCTCGAGCGTGGAACATGGTGGAGCACAACATGATGGTATGGATCTATAGTGAGCTGGTATTTAAAATTATAACAACTTACAACCACAAATGCCATCTATTTAAAATTTCAGCAGTGAACGTGAGTTTTCAATCTTTTTAGAGGTCACAGACCGCCACATATGATCAACCTTGCGTGGGACAATCAACGAAAGTCATTCATCATAAACTCTTTAAAAAATTGTGTCTATTTACATATTTCCAAATGGGTTTTTTAGAGAAATATCTGATTCTGATTAAAATCGAAGATTTTAATTGATATTAAAATGAAAGGGGGAATGAGATTTTACCAAATACAACATCTTTGTTAATCCTGGAACAACATCTCAATCAACCAATCAGATTTGATTTTGAGGAATTGGTTTTGTCAAGTGTAGGCTTACAACAAGGGTTAAGGGCTTCAACGCCATTATCATTCACCTATCGTTTCTCCTCTGATTTTAGGGATAGCGTATGGGTATGGTTAGGTTTAAAAGTAGAGATAGGGTTATTCAATTTTCAGACAGGAATGTTGTTCCTGGATCAACAATGTTGATCCAGGAACATGTCTTACTTAGCAAAATCCCATTGTTTCCATGTAGGTGAATGGTCGAGAGGTTCCTGGTCCATTGTTTGATTTTGGTCTGCTGATGTTTCATAATGCAAAACTGCTTCTTCAAAACCAGAGTGGTCCTTTTTTCTACTTGTCCAAGGTCAGTGTCTGATCATCTTACTTCATTTACTAGGACAGAACTTCAGTGTCTATCAAACATGTCCAAAAATATCTTCATGTTTTGTCGTACAGGTTGAGAGCTACATGGAAGCCAATTGTGGAGTCAGATTTTTTTCTGGACTGAGAAGAAGGTGCAGATCGAGATTACATATGAACCATTGCAGTTTTAACTACACTGCAGTTTATATTCCTAAATTGATTGAATTATTTTGTAGCTTGGCCTTCCCGCGGGCTGTATAAAGGCTACCGTGCTGATTGAGTGTGTCCTGGCATCGTTCGAGATGGAGGAGATTTTGTATGAGCTCAAGGAACACTCTGCTGGTCTCAACTGTGGCATCTGGGATTACTCAGCTTCATTTGTCAACAAATTCGGTCAGCTCATATGCTTTCTACAAATTTGACGAGTTTAAACCCAATCAAATCTTAGTGTTAGTGACACTGGTTTGCTTTCTAGGTCATCGGGCAGATTTCCTCCTCCCTGACCGCAGTAAGTATGTAGATATGGAGAAGCGTTTTCTGCACAGCTACATGGACCTTCTAGTGCAGACGTGTCACCGCAGGGGTGCCTTAGCAACAGGTGGCATGGCAGCTTTGCTGTTGCCTAGAGACAAAGAGAGTGACCTCCACAAGACTGTACTCGCTACTGTCACCAGGCAAGATGCAAATCCAATCCATAATCACAATAAAATGCAGTGGCACATAAATCCAAATATGACATAAACATGAAATAGCCTTAACTTGTGTTATTTTGGATATCATATATTTTTATTATGCTATAATAAGGCAGCATCACTATAAGTATTGATCAGGGCTGCGATTTAAGGTCACATTAGAGAAATTTCCCATGCAAAAACAGCTCAAGAGATGTATTAAGCACTGCTTTCTGTAAGACCACGCTGCAAATTCACATGACCAGCTTGAACATGAGCAAAACCCGCTTGGGGAACGCAAACCCCACCTCACGCGAAAATCTCGATCATGGGGATTCTTTTTGGAATGACTTTATGCACTTTATTTTGGAGATGATCAAAGCATTAGGCTGACAATTTTCCCTTGCAGATGATAAAATAGGCCTATAGGGCTATTGACATTGAAGGAGGAGCACAAAACATATATAAGGTCCAGCCTCCCAAGTATAATGAAGACTTTTTAGACTCTTTAGACTTGGAAACCACCAACCTTGGCAACCACATATAGTAGTCCTATACAGCCATTCAGAATGTGATGCTGCCCTTCAAACCACCCACAACACCATTACAATTGTAAGGGTCTGTTTTGCTCAGGTATACTCTAGTCAAGTTCATCAGAGACTGTACTTCTGTCATTTCAGTGCTGTAATCCATATTTGAATTGCCTGATCAGTCATTAATTTTAAAATTTAACAGAAGTTATGTTAAAGCCTAGGCTACATATAATGTATCTGTGCTGATCAAAAAATAGAGCTCATCCAATTTCACTTCTGTATTTGTTCTCACTACAAATTATCTTTCTGGTGTTGCTTTAGGCTTAAGTTACTGGAGATCAAAGCAGGAGTTGATGGGTTCATGGTTTACGACATGGACCTGATTAAGCCCATGCAGAAAGTGAGTGTCCCAGTTATTATAACAGGCTGTTCATCATAGGTCTATTAATTGATGATCACATCACTAGCAGCAATATGGATATTAAAAATATTTACATAATAAAACTCTTTCTTTATCTCACACAGCTGTTCCAGCTTCACTCTCATGGTCAGAACCAACTCAAGCAGCTGCGTGAAGACATCAATGTGACCCCTGAGGACTTGCTCATTATGCCTGCAGTTAGTTCAATTCGATCACTACAAACCCGGTCAACTTATTAATAAATGTGTGGTCAAAGTTCCTTTCAAGGTCTTTGGTGTGGTGAGGTCTTGCAAATTTGTATTTAAGTTTAAATGCAGTTGCCACTTTATTTTATTTTCTTAAATCTCTATATAGGGAGGAGTAACATTGCATGGACTGAGGTATAACATCGCTGTAGGAATCCTCTTCGTTGAAGCCTGGCTTTCAGGTACCAAACTGTTTTCTTTAAACAACACTTTTATGCTTTGTTCTCGGAGAATTTGAGGTTTTATGGATATTGACTTTTAACAACAGGCAGAGGTCATTTCTTCTATCTGGGGAAGGTTGAGGATTCAGCAACTGCAGAAATATCCAGATCTCAGGTCAGGTCACCACACTGCCCAGCTCACATGGTACAATACAACACCATCTCTTATTCTAACAGCCTGCATTTCTCAGGTTTGGCAGTGGATCCGGCACCAGGTGAGACTGGAGGATGATGGGATGGTGGTGACACGAGCTCTAGTCAGCGGCTTGGCTGAAGATCTGATAGGAGATCTGAAGGCAGCCATAAATTGCCAAACAAACAGGTAGAGAATGCTGTAAAGATGAAATACCTGTTGAAATGTACACACAAAATGAAGTGGGATTAAAGCAACAAGAGACCATGCGGTGCAATGCTTTTACCATGTTTATAGGATGTTCTTGTGGACGATATGAAAAAATGACTGTTTAATTATATAATATATATATAAATAATATATACAATATATAAATAGAAAATTCACTAAATATTCTAATAAAATAAAGTACTACATAAATATTAAAAGCTGCAGTCCATAGCTTTTTGGGGGTTAAAAATGATCTAAATATACATATTTGAGAAAATACATAACCAGCCAGTGTTCAATGCCATCTGCTTGCCTTATTATTGGACAAACTGATTAATCCAGGTGTGCCTGACCTCAGTAGTCAAAAAAACAATAATCAGACACACCTGGATTAATCAGTTTGTCCAATAATTGCAGACATGAAACAAAGGAGCTGGCTAAAGTTCAGGAATAGATATATTTTAGAAAAATAAAAAGGCAAAAGCACAAAATTACTACAGCTTTAAACTAAAATCAAACTGAAAATTTAAAAAAGCCAATTAAAAAAAAATACTATACAATATTAGTATATAATAAATATTTTAAAAAAACACTGGACTAACTGTAGGCTGTTTCACATTGTTGCCTGATTGTCTCATCCAATCAGAATTCAGTCATATATATACAATAGGTAGCTGAATGAATACTGCTTTATTGGATTTTATTTAATGTAAGGGGTCTTTAACAATATCTCAGAGAAATGCAGTATTAAAAAAATACAGTAGTTTGTCTAAATTACCATTGTAAATCTGTTACAGAGCTATGCCACCTCTGATTGCTTAAGAGCTCACATTGAGAAATACTGACCTTTTCTCTCTTTCCACCCTCTTTAGAGACAGAGAGAGGTTGATGACTGCTGTGTCCATGTTTCTAGAGATAGTGCAGAAGAATGATTTCCCAGAGTTCATCACTACATACCTCAACCTGGACCACACTTTCCTCAGCTCTCAGAGCCAACATGAGAACGGATCAACAGATGCGGTGCCCAAAGCCAGACTCTAAACAAGTATGGGATTAAGTCTAAAATTACTTCTGCATCACAAGGAAAACAATACATCCATGAATGCATTTATATGTTGGCGTAACATTTGTGAAACTACTCTTCATACCTAGATTTACAGATAATTATGAAGATGGGTCAAAACGGAGTGTAAAAATACTTCCAATATAACAACAGCACAGTAGTACTCAAACAATTGACATAAAATAATAAGTAAAAACAACTAAAATTCAAGATGTGTCAAATCGCAATTCACTCCCTCAACAGCTACAGTATGGAGAAACCTCCACCACAGGGGTCAAAATATCTGTTGTCTCTCGCCATTGACAACCATACAATATTTTTTTCGAAATAAGGGAGATAGTCCTCACTGCAGAACACGAAATCCAGGGGGAGGAGTTGGATCCAGATCCAACTGGAATGCTAAATTTAACTTCAGCAGCCTCTGTGTTTCTTGTGGTCTGTATTTTCTAAGAAATGAAATGGTTACATCTGACAGTGTACAACCAAACATAGAAATTAAAAACAAAAAGAGAAGTGCATCACCGTTATGTTATTTTGTTTTATTTGTAACTGTGTGAATGTCAAATGATGGGACATTTTCTTAGGATTCAGACAGTGGTATGTTTGATGGAGGGGGAGGATCATAAACAAAGGTTGAAACCAGCATAAGGAGAACCCAAACAATAAGTGGGAGAAAAATAAAATAAGCCAAACAAACCCAAAAGAAACAGTCACAGTAAAAGGTCCAACAGAAGCCACTGCCGCCTCTTAGATGTTCACTGAATAACCGAAAGGCAGAAGAGAATGAAGAGAAGAAAAAAAAATAAAGAGATGCACGTCTGCCTCTCCTCGGCACTCCAGGTGACCTTTAAATCGGCTGAATTGGCCGAGTCACCTCCCGATTGACACGGTAGTCTTCGACTGCTGCCTCCGCCTGGTGGCTGATCCTGGAACTGCTTTGTGCCCAGCAACACAATGTCACATTAATTCACTACCACACACTCCCCCACCCCCCGCCCCCAGGCGCCATCATCTGCATCTAAAAGGTCCGCCCCACAGGTTTGGCACACGACCACGCAAGACAAACCAGGACCAATAGTATTGCTCCTCCTGATATTAATCGGTTCTCTTTAATATTATTTTATATAAATTACTCTTTAAAAACATGAGAAGCAAGATGCATGTGTCTGATAAACAGGAATTAGGCCCAATGAGTTCACTGTGACCGTCTTGATCAATCTTTCTTTGTAATACCGTTTTATTCTGTTCTAGCATAAGAGACGCCATGGGCCATATAAAAAAGAAAAAAAAAACAAGATAGAAAGAAAAAAAAGGAGTAAAACGGGGTTTTCCCCTATTGCTTGCTCGCTCGCTCGCTCCTGTGATTAGATGCGAAGGCAGAAGGTAACTGGTCTCGTTAGTGCAGTGGAGTCTCAACCTCTGTGGGGCGTCTGGTCTCAAAATGCTGACGGCCATAAAACGGCCACCCTGCTCACTTCCTGAAATGCTCACATCTCATTGGGCATGTCCTCGTGGTCGCAGGGGGACAGGTCTCCGTTGGTGGTCACCGCAGAGTTGTCCTGGTAACCGGGGGGCATGAAGGCTACAGCGTAGGGATAGACACCGTGGCAAGCCACACGGTACGATTCCACAAATTTCTCCTGCTGTGAGCCCAGACTGCCGTCCCTCAAAGCCTGGAGAGCCTCGGTGCACGTCTAATAGTCACATACAAATGAGAGATGAAGCATCATTCTTTTCTTGTGAAATATCACCAAATGTACACTGAAATAGTTCTTGTACCTGAATGGTACTGCCTGTTAGGGGCTCGTTTAAAGAAGTAGCCAGCTCAGCAGCCATGCTCTCAGAGGACGGGTCCAGAAACACCATCATCTTGGCAGCTGCATACAAAACAAGCAGACTCTAAATGCAGAAGTATTGTGAAGTACATTACACTCATCAAGACTGCAATTATTTGATCAAAAAACTATTTTAAAATTACAGATTTTTTTTTTAAAATGTAACTCGTAATGCAGCTAACCCAATAGACTCGGACATTCTCTGCTTCCACGTTCATTGAAATGCATTGCAGTTAGTCAGTTTTTATTTGATTTTTCTTGTCATTTTAGGTTTAAAATGGTCAAAGCCACCCTTTCCCAAGCCACATCTCAACCAAGATAAGTGTCTGCTCTGGATTAAGTGATGCGGTAGACCACAACACCAACTAAACGTGGATAAATTTAAACAAGGATGTCTACATTTGTTCTAAGTTAAGTCAACAACATATTTGAATGTTATCTTTAAAATCTCTAACGTAACGTAAGGCTAACGTTAGCCTAACATTAGAAACATTAACATTAGCTTCTAACTGCATTGTACATCATGTCACTTAGCTTCATTAACGTATCTGTGAATAACAGAGATAACAAATGTTAGCCATGTTGTGCTGAATGATTCATGTAAATACTGTAGCACCAAACGGTGACGGCAACGATATGCGGTTTATCACGTTTAATCTGTGACCTGTACATTTTTGCCTGGAGCTTTTCATCAACCTTCTCAACAATAAAAATATTAATATAACCCTCCAATGCATAGTTAAGGCCCTTTAGGTGACTTTGAGATGATATATAATCCTTCTGTATCCAAAAATCACCAACTGTAAAATGTCTCCAACTGTGACAGCTGCAATAGCACCTGTCCCCGAATGTCAACTGTGTGTCCGAGTGAGTGGAGAGGTCGTGGCTTAGCCAAAGGTCAATTGGTGCTCAAGAAACATTTATTATCGAAGTTGAAAACTGCTGCTTTATATTTTTGTGGAACTTCTAATACTTTTTTTTAATGAATAGAAAGTTCAAAAGAACAGCATTCATTTAAAATAGAAATCTTTTGTAACATTATAAATGTCTTTACTGTCACTTTTGATGATTTTACTGCATCCTTACTGAATACAATTGTTAATTTCTTTAAAAAGATTAAAAATAAAAACAGACCCAAAACTTTCGAATGATATCGTATACTTACAACTGTACTTTTTCTAAGTATGCTGTACTTTTTCCAAAATATTAGTTTCTAAAAGATCAGTAAAATCACAAGTGGGTACCTGCAACTCTGTGTGGTATTGAGTTTGCATGTTTGCTCAGGAAGTTCTTGTTGAAAGTCTTTGGGTCACTCTCGCCAAACAGTTTTGTGATCTCCTGCTTCAGAACCGTCTGCACTGCCTCAGGCATGTCCTTACTGTCCGACACTGAAAACAAACAATCTTAGTGGACTTGTATGCGTTTGTCCTATGTGAGGAAAGTATGTCCGCCTTTATGTACCTCCTTTGAAGAATCGCACCAAACACTGGTGGAGCCAGGGGTGATCGGGGTCCAATGAGTAAGCTCTCTTAACCGACTGCAGCATCAAAAGATACTTCTCTACAAACACAAACACACATTTTGAGTTTTAAATCACAGAACCGGAAACGTTAAGGATCACTATGTTGGGGTCATCAGTATAGTCACCTTTCCTGAGGTAGATCTCAAAGGCTAGCAGGTGTGTCTCTATTTTATTCTTTACCAAGTTCTTAAGAGGAGTCAGGAACTTAATCGCTTCTTCTAGAGGATTCTCAATCTACAGACAAAAGCATGAGGATGTGAAGAAAAATCTAAATACTTTATCCTGTAAAGAACAAGTGGCTATGTCAACACACACCTTTGCAAGTTTTTCTGGTATGAGCTCCTCTTTGGGTCCTCCTATCTCCTCCTCGTCCTCTTCCTTTTTCTTCTTTTGGTTCTTTAACAGTTTCTCTTTTTCAGCATTCTTCTTTTCCTCTTCTAACTGGGCTTTCTTTTGGGCACGTCTCTGTTTGTTGCGCAGTTTCTTCAGCTCCTTGTCTGTCAGGTTGGCTACAGAATAAACAATTTTTCAGAAAACAAAACCACCTCATATTTTTGTATACGTTCTCCAAAAGGAAAGGATGGGCCTCTAGAGGTTTGAGTGTGTCGAGTTTGGATGAGGGTACCGTTGTCCGCTTGCGACTCCTTGTTGTCATCAGAGAGCGGGTTATCGTGAAGGCTGAGGTAGATCTCGATGGCCGTACATGCTGCCTTGAAGTAGAAAGGGTGCATACGCAACACATCCTCTAGTTTGAGCAAATCCACATAGGAGCGCAGCGTCATCTTCCGCATACAGTATGTATGGAAGTCAAACTGGTCATCTGTTATCTCCACAAAATGCTGTGAACAGCAGGATGAAAGTGTCAGGATATTTCAGACCAGCTTTGTGTCAAACCAACAGATTTAGCATTGAGGTATTAAACTACAGATGCAAAGTTGAAGTAAACATCTGAATGTGTCTAATGCTGTAGGATTTACCCTTTCAATTTCATGGCACTTCTTCAGCGCCTCTCCATATTTGTTCAAGGACTTGTAGGCCAGAGCACATTCTGTCTGGAACCACATGCACTGCATCTCATTCAGATTCTCTACTGCAGATGTTCCTTCCTGCAGGAAACAACAAAGATAAGATACACTCAGAAATATGTGTTTTTGGCACTAAGACGGATCATTCCTGGAAAAATAAATATGAGAAATTAAAAAGGTCAATATGTGAGGTCAAAACGAAAGCAAGTCCCACTAGTTAGTTACAAGCGCTAAGTGAATTACCGGTTAAAGCATTACCAGTCAGATTTTATGTTAAGTGGGCATTAACATAAAAATGGTTTTATTTTTGGTAAGAAATTTCTGAAAAAATTCACTCAAACATTACTAAATATATTCTTTCAACGTAATTGACTCTCTCTATTCCGATGCACTACTAGTAAAAAAAAAAAAAAAAAAAAAACAGCTCCCGAGATAAATGCCAGGATTTCCCCCAACTGAATGAACTTGTCTTTTAATGGGACTTTATATATTAGCTAAAGGAACATACTCAGAACTCAAAGTTTGGGTAGATTTTAGATTTTTGATGCTCAAGTTGTTTATGCTCATAAAGGCTGCATTTAACCAATCAAATAGTGAAAACTCTAATACGGGGAAATATTATTACAATTTAAAATAATGATTATCTGTTTTAAAATTTTAAAATGAAAATTATTCCTGTTAAGGCAAAGTTGAATTTGTGATAGATTTTTTTTCAGGATTCTTTGATTAATGAGAATGACAGCATTATTTGAAATAAAAAAAATAAAAAAACTTTTGTAACTTTCTAAATGTCTATACTGTCACTTAAGGTCAGTTTAAAGCATTATTTGTGAATACAAGTATTAATGTCTTGAACAAAATCTAACAGACCCCAAATGTTTTACTTGTAGTGTAAAGGGCAAGACATTAACTTTTTTGCTCACCAGCAAAAAAAAGGGTGTAAAACGGCTTTTCCCATATTGCTTGCTTTCAATTTCGCAGCAGGTACATTAGGTTTCCATCACTTAAAAACCTGAGGCACAGGTCTATCATTCTGTTACACCTGCATTTCCTTTCTCAACTTTTTAAGTTTACTTAAAACATACCTGACTGTTTACGTGAATACTCGCCAAGACCGGCATTTTGGCATTACTTTGTGTGTATTTGACACTTTAAGCACAATAAGCAGGGCAAACAAAAAAAAACCCAATTTAGTACTAAGAGGTGGCTTTATGTGTGATGAGAGCACAAATTATGTGAGAATGAGTTAAATAACGCACAATAGTTTAAAAGACAACAATTTAAAAATGTACATATTTATTATATATAAAATTTAACCCGCCTAAGTGGCTAGTAGGAACGGCTGCTTTATACACCTGAAATCCGCCCACGGGTTGGCAGTTGTTAATGTCAAGCCCTGGTAGTGTATAAGCAATAAGTAGTATCATTTGAGCTTAACCACACTAACCCGTGTGAACTTGGAACACATCTCTTCAGCCTCCTTGATAAGGCCAGCCTTGAGCAAATACTTGGCACACTTAGAGTTGATAAAGCGGTCAGCAGTGTCCAGAGCCTGGGCCTCGTCCATCCACCGAGCAGCTTCACGGATGTTACCCGCATGCTTTCAAGAGAACAAGAGCGAGATGGAAAATAAGTCACTCTCAAGTTCTGTTCAATGGTTCAGGTTCTGTCTTCGAGAATATTTTGAATCACTTTTTAAACGTAAAGGAGTGTCATTTCGTTAAAGAAGCACGACAAATTTTTGGGACTTTAGCTTATTTCCCGTATCCCCCAGAGCTAGATAAGTCAATACATACCCTTACACCGTGTCCTAACTACACGCGACGCGACGCCGCGACACGCGATAAAAGGTATCTTTTCCATGTTAATCAGAGTTTTTGTCCTAACCAGACGCGACGGCGACACGCGAAGTTTCTAATTTAGAAACGGTTCCTATTTCTGCGACGTCGCGGCTGACAGAATGAAGAAATTACACTGGTTATGATGAGTATACATTATTTATTTTTAGTTAAAAATAGGTCACTGTGCCACAAGCGATAACGGATAATTTACCTCAGATTTTGAAAGCATATAATATAGCGTTCAAAATGAATTCTATGCAAACATACGACTGTACTTCATAACAAAATTAGTCAATGAGTATTTTTTGTTAATGTTTTGATTTTTAATAATGTTATTTCTTGATTTGATTATGTCCTTATTCACATATTCAATGCGAGTGCGGGCCAACAGTGCGCTTTCACAGAGAGACTCCGCTCACACCATAGGTTCACACGCTGTTCTGAATGTGTGGCATCTCACAGTCGCGTCGCGTCTAGTGTGGACAGACACACTTGCTGTCGCTGGAATTTTATCGCGTCGCGTGTAGTTAGGACACGGTGTTACCATTTCCATCTCTGACGCACCCACCGCTAGCCTAGCTTAGCACAAAGACTGGAAGTAAATGGCTCCAGCTAGCATACTGCTCCCAATAGTGACAACATTTTCCTATTTATTTGTTGTGATTTGTATAGTCACAATATGTATTGATAACAAAGTCACAAAAAGTCGCCGTGTTAATTTAACTCCTGATGCAAAGTACCTCGGTTTGTTTCTTCGACCTGAGTGTGTTTTACCTTGTATATCTTCGCCTTGATGAGGAAGAGCTCTATGAGGGTTGGGGTGCTTTCAATGGCTGCGTTAATGTAATCGAGGGCAAGTGTCTGTTTGCTGATATGGTTGAAATGCTGAGCCAGGAAAAACTGAACCCACAGAAGAGTGGTGGGTGGCTCTGTTTTCCCATCATCTACAAATTAAGCAACATGTCCACAGTGAGAAATTTGGCACCGTCCACACCATTACAAGGCAAGTTTATTAATATAACACAATTCATACACAATTGTAATTCAAAGGGCTTTACATCACAACATGTGCATAACAGTTATTTAACTATAGGCTAAAACACTATTCCAATAATATTATTACTTCAATTGCCATCTGTCATTAAAATCGGTTTGCAAATACTCACCATTTTGGTTGAACATTTTACAGGTTCTTAAACTTTTTTCATAGCCCACAACTAACTCCTCAATAATCGCTACCTGCAAAAGACGGAAAGAATTTTTCTAATTTGTTGAAGTGCACAAATGTCTACACTTCTCTAGGTCATTTTGTCATCTCACCTTGTCTTTGTGGTGGTAGAGTGATTTGAGTGTGGTAAAGACAGGAGGGCATCCTTTGCTAAAGTTCATCCTCAGGTAGCGATCCAAACACTCTCTAAACTTCTCACCTGCGATAAACAAAAAAGCGGTCATATACATGGACACATTATGAGAGCATAACTGCCTTATTGACTTGACAAGACTGACCTGTGAGGAAGCTGAGAGGAAGTCTTCTTGGCACCAGGCCTTTAGGATACTTAACCCAGGCATCTTCATAGATTTTCTGCTTCTCCTCGACACTCTCTGAAAGCAGCATGACATAATAAGGGCTAATAGAAATGAAAATCAGACAAGGTTTGCTGGGTTCAGGATAATGTGTTTACTTGGTTTGAGTGCTTTTTCCAGCCCTTGATAGTAGCTCCAGTTCTCAGGGTTTCTCTCCAACAGTCGGCGGTAAACCTCCGTAGCTTCACCAGCCCGGTCTAACTTCAGAAGCAGCTCTCCTACACATATACCAACACACTTTGCTTTAGAGAAACTGCGACAGCGCATGATAAATGAGTCCCCAGACAACACACAAAAGGATGCTTCACCCTAACAGCGGTAATATACTGATTCATATTAAATGGTGTTGTTTTGTCAAGATAAATTAAATACACTACCATTCAAAAGTTTGGGGTCAGTATGATTTTTTTAAAGAGAATTTCATCCTTTTTTTCAGCAAGGACGCATTCAACTGATCAAAGTGGGCAATACAGATAATAATGTTACAAAATATTTCTATCTAAAATAAATGATGTTCTTTGATCATACGATTCAACAAAGATTCTCTTTTCAACATATTTCTATCTAAAATAAATGATGTTCTTTGATCATACGATTCAACAAAGATTCTATTTTCAACATTGATAATATGAAATGTTTCTTGAGCATTAAATCAGCATATTAGAATGATTAATTAATCAATACATGATTAACTAAATGTAGTTTTCCATGTAAATTTCTGAAAGGCAATTTGAAACAATATGTATTGTGAAAAGCTCTATACAAATAAATTTGAATTGAATTTCTGAAGGATCATGTGACACTGAAGACTGGAGTAATAAGCTGAAAATTTCGCTTTGCATCACAGGAATAAAGAATATTTAAATTTTATTTCATTTTGTAATAATATTTTTCAGTATTATATTAATTTTCTGTATAGTTATCAAATAAATGCATCTTCGATTAGCGTCAAAAACATTACAAAAAAAATCTTACTGACCCCTTTTGAAGAATAAATAAATAACAAAAGAAAATGTATAAGTACTAAATATGAATATACATTTTGAGATTTGCTAAAACTTTTATCAGTGTTATTAAATTCATGTTTGCTTTAAATATCAACTATGTGAGCATTAATTTCCTAAAAAAAAAGGAAAGCATGTAAAGTTAAACATCCAATCAGACCAATATCAGCCAATAACTGACATATTATTAAACCGAATATCCCCGACACATTTATAAAAACGCACCTCGTATCTCCTCTACAGCCAGTTTGTCACAGATCTGTTTTTCATAGTTGGTCAGGTGATCAAGGGCTTCTTTGATAAGCCCGGCCTCCCTCAACAGCTGATTCTGATACAGCAAAAGCTCGCTGTACTCATAATCCACTTTCTCAGGAGATGTCTGAAATACAACCATCCACAATCCTCAGTGGCATACAAAAAAGTATCCCCTTCCCAAGCTTTTCACATTAATAAACAGTCAGATGACATAACTGTAAGGAAGTGATGAAAAAATACCTGTTGTGTTTTGCGGAACTCTTCCACTATCTTAGCCGCCATTTCATAATCTTCCAGAAGGTGATATGCAATGGCATATCCAATCCAGGAGGCTCTTTGAGCTGGACGCAACTGCAGTAACTGGTACCTGGTCTCCTGTGAGAGAGAAATGAGAAGTGACACTTCTTATAATGTTCATAATATCACCGTAACAATTTAAGTGAAAGGATGACTTGGAAAAAATATAAAATCAACACTATTTTAACTGGCTTTTTCCATGGAACATAGTCATTTCCTGACATAGTTATACAAGCACTTCCATTTAAAATAACTTACCCGGTAACCTTCGAGGTCTCTCATTTGGATCTGCAGCAGTGAGAGATCTCTGAGGATCTGCAAATTGTCTTTGTCCCATTTAAGAGCATTCCTGTAGCACTTGATGGCCTCGTCATACTTCTTATCTGAGCGCTGAAGCAAACCGTACACGTGCCAACCTGAAGAAGAGTTAAGGACAGGAAACTGCACTGCGCCTATTGCTGAATTCTTTTTTATTTTAGGGGGTCGTGGTGTAGGAATCAAATTCTGATCGATTTTTCTACAAAAAATTGTGATTGCTATTTTGCAGTGCTTGTATGTAGGACGGTCTAGCCGAAAATGTTATGATTACATCAATATGACTTTTATTTTAAGTTGTATGATCAATAAATTAAACAACAAGAAATATTTACAATATTTTCAATATTATACATGTAAAAAAAATAATAATAATTGAAGAAAAATAATAAATAATGTGACACTTAACTCTTTTTTAAATAACTTTTTTGAGGTTAAGGTTGAGGAATTAAAATATACAAAGTACCTCAAACTGGGTTTCATTCCCTAGTAGTTGCGTACGTTCATACGTACGCAAAAATGACTAATACTTCTTTTGACAATGCTTTTCATGAATCTACCGTCGATGGGAAAGGTGTTAAGGATACAGACATGACTCTTCAGATCGTTTCGTAAACCTCGTCGCACTAGATCATACGCCTCCTCCTTTCGGCCCAAGCAGTTCAGAGTCAGTCCCTTCATTGCGAGGGTCTCTGAGGGATGAGGGGAAAAAAGAGATGATCATGTGCTCAACCAATTTAATTATTCAAAATGCTGAGAAAATGAAGTAATTAATGTCCGAAAATGGCCTTACCTCCGTGTTCTGCAAACTTCGGGTTGAACAGGATCTGTTTGCAAAACTTGAGGCCATTTCTGTACTGCTTGTGTTCGTAGCATCTCTGCAAGACATAAAACAGGAAAAGCATGCTCACTAAAAACACTTTCATTGAGCATTAGGCAAAATGAAAGTACAGTAGAGGTGTGTGGTTAGAGATGTACAGCTTCTGAACACTTCAAACCAGAAACATCAAGCCAAAACCTCACCGAAAGTAGGTGTGAGATGCATAACCAATGCACACTATGATAACTATGATAACTCCTGCAAAAACATGCTGGATAATCAAGAAAAAAATGTGAGAAGGCGGCGGCTACACCTTCTGTAACAACGTCCCCCTTACAGACCTGCTGTATATTTAATGTAACTAAGTAAAGTACTTCACAATGCAAATTTCCTACACATTTTCCATTTCGAAAATCCATACTTTTCCAGACACAAATTTTTACACAAACATTACAAACTGTTTTATTGATGTCTTCTTGCAGTTCAAACACTTAACGATTATGTAACATGATACAGATTTCGGCAAGTTGTACTGTATCTTTCAACATTCCTTCTGATGTTCGTTCATGATCGGTTCACGTGCTTCTGCTTCGCTTGAACTGAGGCGGAAACACAAACTGACCATCACACAACATTAAAGAGCACCAAAACTGTATTTATAGTTTGAATTTTGTAATAAAATGGACATAATTTGAAAACTGAGACTTTGTTTCACATCAAAAGTAACAATGCAAAAAACTTAGTGTGATTTATTGAATGGGAGGCATACTACAAATTTGAGAAATTCCTGATTTTGTACTTATCCAGACCTGGAAATTACTCAAATAAATTCCATACTTGTACAAAGAGCAAATTGGGAATCATGACAATGCTACAAGACCCCTGAGGCAGGCTCAGAAGAAAAAAGGCTATGATGGTGAGACATTGATTACAAACAGATTCCAATCTACTTTGGTCACCACAACAGTTTTGACATCCCATGAAAGCTGTCTGCCAAATATCGACATAACAGTAACGTGAAGGAATGCCCTTCTAACATAAGCATGTTTAATGGACAGAGCTCATTAGGCGCTGCTGTTCACATTATCATGACTAAAATTTATGTATGAGTTGGAAAGAATTGTAATGGCAATAAAGATTTCTAGCAATTCAAGCTCCCTCCATGTGCCAGAAGAGAAACAGATGTTAGAAAATTAAAAAAAAGTCTAATATTTGGCATTCTGGAACAAGAAAAATCAGGATAGTCTAATAATCAGTAATGACAACTACTTGGGGCTGTTTCAAGATTGGTCATTAATACACATTATTAAGAGCCAAGACTGGACAAGCAGCTGTTGAGTCACTATAACCTAATACAATTTCCAGAAGCACAAAGAAGTTCATAAGAACAAAAGTGCCTCATTACATTAGGATGGATGTATGAGACTATTTCCATTAGTTCTCTCTCTACATGACGAGCTTTGTCTCAAACCCTAACTAGACTTAAAACTAGACCTAACTGTGTACAGCGTAATAGGTTTTGAGACACAGCCAACCTGTCAAGCTAGACTAGCTTGAACACAGAACACCTTTCCCTTTTGTTTCTGTATGAACTATATTAAAAACTTATGAAATCACAATTAAGATTCTATAGCTTTTAGCCAAAGAGTATCAGTTTCTTTGTGTCCATCTATATAAAAGTGTACTCTTATAATTATTCACAAATGATAAATTCCACATTTATAAAAGCAAATTCTAACTAATTAATCATTTAAACTTAATTTTAACCTAGCTTTGAAAGCATGAAATCCCATTCTTCAGAGCCACTTCTTCAAAAACATGTGGACAAATCAAAACAGAACAGCACCAAAACACGTACATGCGCAGCAGATTCTCCAAGGTGTAAAGAGACAAGAAACAGCGTGAAATTACCTCATGTCTTAATTAAAGCACATAACATCACCATAATAACAAACTTAACTTGTAGAACACTTACTTGTACCTGACTGCTGCACTTTCATTTCGGCATTGATAGTGTTGACATAGAAACGCATAAATCCGAGTCTAGGGACGTGAACAGCTCCGGGTAGAACATCACAGGTTGCCATCTTATAATTACGGTTACGACATGGCGTGAAAGCAGCAAAGCTCATTGTTTTGGTTCAGGTGGAACTATAAAAGATGACTGCTGTTTGTTTACGGTGCCCGGTGACTGTGTCTACAATGCAATGACATGTCTGCATGAGCAGGGTGCTTGGAAGTATGGAAATACATGCAATTGACAGGCAGGTAGGATATCATATCAATGTATTTGGACCGAATGCTATGATTGGACAAACATTTTTTTTTGGTCCTGACTTCTGAGACTTCCACATAAGATATATGTACACGTTTTAATATTAAGACCACTTCTATTATTGATTGCTATCAGGATTTAAAGACAGATTTCAACCATTATAACAAAAATGTTTATAAAACAAATTGTCAACCCTACCTTTAACGGGGTTAATCAATATTGCTGGCACTTAATATAAAAAATTACTCATCTAGCATTACACAAAATTGTGTTAACCAAAATCTATCAAGTATGATAACGTCCCACTCCCTGATATAACCACCACACAATTAACGTTAATGAGTTAGTTTGTCCAGTTAGCACCTGACAGCAGTTTTTGAGGGGTAGTGTTCAGGTACTAATAAAAGTGTCAATACACAATAATAAAAGTGGATTTAAAGTATTTAAAAATATTTTTTTTTACTTTATTATAACATTTGCGTAACAATTCTGTACACACTAATTTAAGTATTGCAATATTGCCTTACTGCACTGTTGTTATTTGGCGGCTGGTGTTGCTTTAAATACATTAACTTTAATACTGTTAACTTGCGTGGTGATGACTAATCGATTTAACTCCCGAGTTTTGACATAATTCAAAGCATGTAACTCTCAAACCACATGATATTATTGGTAACGTTACAGATTTATAAAGCGACTTTATAGCACTATTTAATGGTTATTCCGGCCACAGCAATCAAATCACTGATCTTTGCGCCTAACGTGCTAAGGTAGTTAGCTGCTCGGTGTCAGACAAGTTAATCTGCTCTCAAAGTGCGTGAACGTGCATGAGCTATTAGTCATGTTACGAGTTTAAAGCAACGCCAATGCTCTCTCTTAGCTTGCAAAATACTCTTAGAAGGTTTCTCGTGAGACCAGCAGAAAGAGATCCTGGCTAAAATAGGAAGGCGACTGGCACACGCTTCATTTCTATTATTAACAATCCAGCGTTCGTTTGCAGATATATTTCCCCCAACTTACCAATATTCTCTTAAAGAGAGCGTTCTCCTTCGGCGGTAGAGTTATCGAAGGCATGCTTCTAGCTTTTGAGTGTTGATCACCGTGACTTTGCTCTAATCATGAATCGGAATCCGCGATCCTCTGGCCGGATTGTCTGCTGTATCGTAAAAGCCCCCCCGAACTTCGCTGTCTGGGGCTCCTCGACTTCACGTGGTGACAGCAGGCCCCCCTTCAGAACCAAAATGGCGACGGTGCTTCTCCCCGGGTCAAACGCTGAACTGCGCATGCGTCGAGTGTGCAGCATTTCCGAGGCGGGGATGAAAATATTATTTTATTTTAATATATTATAAAATTAAAACACAAATAAATACTCAACGTGTAATAAAATGACAGTTTGCCTTTTGAATTTATTATAATTATAATTATTATAGCCTAATCAATGTTTCTGAGACAGGACATATTTTTATTCTTACATACTAAAATAAACATATTATAGGTGAAACAACTACCCATAACTGCTTATTGTGGACGAATGTATTTAGAAATGTTAACTTGGCTGTTTAAATAATAAAGTAAAAAAGGTTACATTTAAAATTATTTACAGGAGCTAAGAGTGTTTGGGGGATTTCGTTTACATATTGATTATTCCTGAGATTTTGTTGAACAGAAAAGCAATCTATTGTCTATTATTTGTGAATACCCAATAATTTTTTGAGTGAATATGGAAAATTTTAATTAGAAAGAAAACTTTAAAATGTGCCAATATTTTGATATATTCATGTATTATTCCAATGAAAACATAAATAATTATTTTTTATTTAAAAGTTTAATATTCATTTTTTACATATTCAAGTTATTCAATTATTTTTCCCTTTTTATTGTTTTGGGAAATTGTTTTGAATTGAATTGTTTTGAATTTCTCATTCACAAAAATATTGTTAAATTACAGAGAGGACTTAATATTTTTCATGAAATAGAGTTTTAAAATGTTGTTATGTTCACTCTGGTGTAGCTTATGCATTTGTATAGTTTTGTATACTGCTGTATACTTTGTTCCAAGCACAAAAGTTAGGAAAAGTTAGGAAAAGATGTTCATGTAACTTTTTGTCCCACAGGGACTCAGTTAAAATGTGTAGATTAAGCTTGTGGGTTAAATTATTCTTTGTGCAGTGTAGCATGTTTCTGGCTTGTGAATGTGGGCGTCTTGAGACACATTGTTTCCTGGAATGCAGAAAGTATAGGACAGAAAGAAGTATATTCTTTGTTAAACTGGCAGGACTTGGAGTCAAGGCTTTTTCTGTTTTATCTTTGTTTGGACACAGTGACGACGAGCATTCAGTTCTTGCATGGCACAGGACTGTATGAAAGAATTTAGTTAAAACTTTGATCTGTGGAGGGCAGTAATACGCTCAGCAGTGTCTACACTGCTGCAATGATCGATTACTCTACGTGCCACTAGGTCATACAGTCCTCCTTGCTGCAGGAAGGAAATACAATCGAGCACAGATCGAATTTTGTCTGGTAGGGAAACATCATCAAAATGCTTCTCGGCCGGTTATTACTGCGGACATCAACTGTCAACAAGAGTGAGTAAAGCAATGCGAATTATACTCGGCGTACATTATAGTCCGAGTACATTTACTTGGTAAATTGGTTCACTCGCCTTATCTTAGCAAAGGAGTAACGTTAACCGTTATGGCCTGACCTTTCTTAGCTTAGCAAGACTAGCAACACAGCACCCAATGCATTAGTTGTAATAATAATGCCTGTATGAGGTATATATATATATATATATATATATATATATATATATATATATATATATATATATTCAGGTGTTGGTAAATTAACTTAAGCAAAGGACAAAGATTTGTTTCCACAAATTTTGTTTTTGTCTTCTTGATAATTAATCCAATCATATACAAACTATCAACTTAGATATAACAGGTACTGAAATTGTCTTAAAAATCAGACTGCATTAAATATAGATTGTTTTGATGATCGCTTTTCTCTCTTTTTCAGTGGTTAGTAGAAATGCTTACACAGCATCCAAACCTGATCCCTCCAAGCCAAACATGCTGAGAGTAGGACTGGCGTTTGGAAGTACAGCTGTCTTGTGGGCACTGGTAACTCCATTTAAATGATATCTCATACATGCACACTAACTTACACCTGTTTTTAAGTTTCCTAAATACCCTCTCTGTTCCCCACCAGCTGTTCAAGCAACACAGCACTGATGTGCGTGAGTACAAAACAAGGAATGGGTTAGAGTAATTCACAAAGCTATGTAAGTAAAACCATTACCAATTTCTTTTTCAGTTTCATCTAACTCCAGTTGTTGAAGCAGTTATCAAAAATGCATGTCTGTTGTTGAAGTATATATATAACTAAATAACATGCCTGTTAATTGATCCATATTTACATAAGATAAGATAATGCCATGCTAATGAAGTAATAATCAATTATAATGTTTTTTTCTCCCCTTTTTAGGGCATTAATTGCTCTATGCTTCGTGGATCTTCTGTTTTTCCTGTTTCAATGTTCCTCTGCTGTACAATAAAGTTGTGTATATGTAACTTGCCTCTAGACACTCTTTCCTGGCTCCAGTGAACATGAGTTGTAGAGATGTTTTATATTAAATACATATGGCTTCCCTTTGTTCCATTCAATTCAGTGTAATGATGTGGTTTATACGCAAAGCAATAACAGAATCATTCTTGCTAATTGTCCCCTGGTTTTTGTCTCCTGGTACATTGTGTACTTAGACATATTCAACAGAATAATATAATAAACATTCTAAAGTAGCATGGTTGTCACAAAATCTATTCTGCAACATTCTGGAAACACTTTTCGGTTATGAAACTTTAACAAAAACATTAGACAATGTATTTATTATTAGGTTGTCACTTAAATCTCCATTTGAATGTTCTTGGAAGATACGAATTGGGATGAAAATAACCAAAACCATATAGCCTACTAACTTAAAGGGATAGTTCACCCAAAAATGCTCACCCTCAGGCCAACCTAGGTGTATATGACATTTTTCGTTCAGATGAATACAATCGGAGTTGCATTTAAAAATCTCCGGGCTCTTCTATCGTGCCAGTAAATCCTGTTTAGAGGGAGGGGGAGACGTCCCCTTAAGTTCACTCCTCCCCCTCTGGCCTCTGCATTTTTCTGCACTATCACACAGTCATTCATTTCGTCTCCATTGGACTCTCACGCTGCTTTCCTCCCGTGGCAGTGGCAGTTTGTACCATGTTTGCGTGCAGAGCATCCTGGCAGAGGTGTGGTGGATCTCTGGCACGACTGTCCATCAACCGTGCTCACCTCTACAGAGATGGTGAGGACCGTCTTATCTGTCTCTGAGTTTTGTTTATGTCTATTAGTCATATAATTTGCAGTGTATTCGGTGTGTTTTGGGCTTTCGTGATCTGCTACTTGTATTATTTCACGCATTTCGACTTGCAAATGTGTTTGAGCTTATTTGTATTATAATGTAACGTTACAATTGCTTGGCCCGATGGCATGCAGTTTAGGGTTAAGGGGACATGAAGGTCAGTCGGAGCCTATTGGTACTTCACTTTTGTTTTTTTAATGGCTCTTTAGATAATTCGTCAAGTTTTATTGCCAGTCGTTTACACACCTCCTACTACTACTAACACATGTTCGCCGTGTTATTTGCAGGGAACACAATGTACACATCTTAAACCGCAGCCTGGCACAAAGCTCACAATGTAGCCATCTTGGGAACTGGAAATCTGCAGTAATATTAATATTGTACAGATTTGTAATTCAAAATACACGAACTATCTCTGCGTTTTAAACGTTGTGAAAAGTTAGATTAGTTGTGGAATCTTCACTCTTGAATATGATTCGATTAATGTCTGTCAAATTCATTCTGTCGTCATTAAATGGATTATGAAACACAAACTTGCGTAATAGGGAATCGGCTGAATTTTTATTTTGGACATCATGGTTTAAAAATATCCACACTCCGCTTGATTGTTGACCTTCAGTGTTCTAGGGTGTTATGTGTTTCACGTATAGCTCACGTGGTTGTGTACGTGGTCGTTCTGAACGCGGACCTATGGAACTCGGTGGCTGTGTATGGCAAGCCGTTTTAACAATTATTCTAAAAAAATATTTTTTTATTCTACTAGTATCAATTCTATTAGGTTATTATTTAGGTACTAGTACCTTATTTATTTATTTATTAGATGGCCACCTATTCAGTACAAAAAAATGTGAAGTAGAACATAGGCTACTATTTCAGTTTTTCTATTTCTTTGTAATAATTTTTTTAAAGTTACTATTAATTTCTATAATAAATATAAAGTATACAGTACTAATAAAGTATACAGTATATCTCGCAAAACCTTTGCATTCCCTCGCAAAAAATAAATAAAAATAAAATAGTGTTCCCCAAAGAAACGTTGCTTTTGCTTGCAAAGAAATCTGGGAAACCCAAAACATTTAAGAGAGAACACAAAAGCATTGACTTATTATTTTCCCTATCATCTCATTTCCCCTCTCCACAATGGCCCTTTAGGGGCTTTGTAAATCTCTGAGTGAAAATAGTTTCAAGTCTTTTTCAGTGTGGATACTAGTAACTTTTAAATAGATACTATTAGTATTACTAATTTATTAGATGCTTGTACTTATTTCAGTAGTGACTAGGAACCATTTAATTGTTACTAGTAACACTCTTAATTTTTGCCATTGACTTCTATTGAGATCTATCATTCAGATATCAGCTATATGTATTCCAATTGTGACTAGTACGTATTTATTAGATAAATAGATACTACTCATCCAGCAGAATTTTTGTTTGCTAGCTCTAGTAGTATGCTATTCCCAAATTAATGATTGCTTCAGGGTTTTCTACTTTTTTTGTCACTCAAACTCCCATTCTTTTAAACATTTATGCTTTTATTGTTATTGTAAGGAATTTAGCACTTGCATTTTCCCCCTGTTGGGAAACCCTAGTTGTTTAAATAAACAAAGACACATTCTTAAAGCAAGACGCTTGTCTGCCCTTGTTGTTGCTGGACTGTATTAGATGAATCAATGCATGTGAAAATCTAGGTTAGCATGTTTGTAATGCAGACATCATGAGAAATCTGTTGAAAAAAGCAACGTAAGCATAGATTTAGTCTGTCCTACCCACTAAATATCTCCTCAAATAGCCATTAACAGCTGGACTTGTCAGACACCACTTGCTTAAAACCTTTCACTTTAATTCTTGTCCGCTCAACCGTTCCAGTATCAAGCTGTGATTAATCTTTTTTGGAGGGTGATTTGCAGGATAGATGTTTAAAAAAAAAACAGATCATGCTAACATAACTAACATTAAGTTGAGTAAATGATGATAATGTTGTAAAATGGAGAACTATCATTTTAATATAGCAGGCCTATTGTTAAAAATAAAAATAGTATTGGACTTTCTGCAAACAGGGCATTTCTAGTAGCATCTGTAACTGAAAGCCTTTTGTTTGATGCTGCATCCAATTCCACACCACCAGGTGTCCATATAAGACCTAGATGAACATATTGTGAAAATCATTATTGTGTGAAAAAAAATGTTTGTTTAATTTCAGCAGTTGTGTCTTATTGTTTTATTGGAAATATAGGTATTATATTGGCCATAACCAACCTAGATATTGACCAACATCTGACATTGGAAAACTCAAGTTGGTTCCCAGTGGTCTAACTAAGCGTGTCTCACTTTCAGTTTTTCTTTACCCTTTGACTCCTAGGAAAGATTAACAGATTAGATGGTAGGGATGCACCGATACCGATACCGGTATCTGGTATCGGCCTCGATACCACATTTTCTAAAGTACTCGTACTCGTTAAAAGTCCCCCGATACCGGGGACCGATACCATGTTCTGAGAAATGGGTTAATCACAGGCGCCGAGTGCCCACCCCCAGGCTCCGGCTGCAGCTCAGAGCGGGGAGATGGGGAGACATGTCAGCCGTGTGGAACAGTGATGCGCGGGTCAATGTATAAACAACCCGCACACTACCAACGTTTTCAACTACCCGCCCGCTACTCGGACCGCAAAAAAAGTAAGAAAATATTGTACCCGACCCTCTTCCTGACCGTATTTTTTAAAAGTAGTACATGCTCATCGTAGCGTCATTGGGCCATAAACGTGTAACAACACAGCATCGCAAGAAGACGTAGCATACATATAACAAAGGCAGCACTTTGGTCATCATCTTTCATTATTTCGGTAAATGTTTCCAACACTTACTCTTTCTATTTGTGTATTTTCGGAGCTTCCACTCCCCAGTCTTCACCTTTTCTCTTGCCGCCTCCATCTCTCTGCAGACTAGTGATCATAGACATGGCCGGTTCGTGAACGAATCGGTTCTTTTTAATGAACCGGTCGAACCAGTACGCTAAATCGAACTGAATCATTCGCATCAGTTCACGTCTTGCGTCAGTGCTGATCCACAAGTTACTACAGTTACTCACTTTCAGACATGCCTGACAGTCCCTCCGAGTTGAAAAAACCAATATCCCGAATTATATTTTACTCCAGTAACTCTAACAGTTCACTGAACTGAGACATGTTGTTGATACTGCTGATACTGCGCATCCGCGTATAGTAACGAACGCAGAGGTACAGCGGTTCTCGGATCACACCAGTACAGAACTGAGAACTGTTTAGACTGAGCTTGTGTGTCATCTTCGTGCCAGTTATTCAGCCAATAAATAAATTCGGCCTATATATTTCATAGAAAATTCTATCTAGTACTATATAAATACAAAGGTTTAATTGGCATTTTTTTCCAAACGACCTGACCGACCGCGACCCGAATATCATTAAAAATATTTTTGGATGACCCGTAACTGCGGGTAACCGCGGGTGACCGCGGCGCAGGCACCCGCTCATTTTGGATCAACCCGTGCATCACTGGTGTGGAACAATTTCAAAGTGAATGGCTTTGGATTAGGAGAATAAGTTTACTTGTAGTCGCCAAGTTACTTATAGTCAGTTGAATGTCTGTTGGGGGACCAAATAAATAAAGTGTTATCAGATATTAAGCTGATCGTACTAATACTCTAGTCTACTAATACTCTAATGACAGTTAGTTGACATGTAATTGAAAAGTTACTTATAGTTAGTAAAGTGGACAATCGAAATAAAGTGTTACCCAAGTAATTTAATCAAGGACCTAAAAACCCGTATATAAAAATATTTAAATCATGTTTTTTTTGTTTTTTTATTAAGTACTCAGTATCGGTATCGGCGAGTACTGAAATGCAAGTACTCGTACTCGTACTCGTTTTCCAAAAAAGTGGTATCGGTGCATCCCTATTAGATGGTATATATAACCCGGAGGTGTCTAGAACCCATTTACTCTAGCTGGACACAAGTGACTGGATTATCTTAATGGGAATATTGAAGACACTCCTGAAAAAAAGCTCCTCTACCATGTCAGTGTTTCAATCATCACGATTGTACTGCACTGATGGTTTTCTAAATCTTTTTTAGGACAAGGAACTGTCTGAACTAAGACCAATTCATTCAATTATAGTGTATAAAATAGAATATTTGGTTATTAAACAATTATCTAGCTAAAAAGTAGTTCAGAGTTACTGAATTTAAAGTCATGGAAATGACACAATCCTCTCCTGTGTTCTCATGGGATAGTGAAGTGTCATATCCACACTTCAAAATCTCATTGAAGTAGATCATCTGGGTACTATTTGCCTACTCTTTTATGAGTACTGTGAATTCGGACATACTACTTTTGTCACATACTGTTTTTCACCAATTATGTAGTAGGGAAGTATGCGATTTTTTTAATGCAGTTAATAATCGATATGAACGCTGACAGGCATATTTATAGGTACCTAAAACCATTGACAGGAATCCAATCAGGCAGTGACCTACTGGTCAGGAAGCAGCTCAGGACCTCCATATTAATGCCATGGAGGTCATCTCTGTGCCAGGCTTTATATTATTTTGGTTCTGTTAGCCTACACTATTAAAACTCTTAGAGAGAGAGAGAGAGAGTTAGAGAAATGTGGCCAACACATGCGACCTGCGGGGGACACAGCTGTCGAAATAACTAATATGTTGATCTAAAATTGTTCCCTTATGCCTCTGTTGTCTATGCAGTCGTTCCACGGAGGCTCATGTCTTCAGTTCCTGGTGGCTCAGGTGATAATATCCTGTACGCCATCCTCTGTGGTGGAGCCTTCGCCGGTTCCTTGACATATGTAAGTATGGAAAAAGCTCAAACCATTGATATAGATTGATGTCAGATCATTAATTTGTTGAATTAATATCTTTTTCAATTCTATGATAGGTTTACAAAACAGTTGTAACGGACAAAGAACGCTTTGCTGATCGTATTTCTGAAATTAGTGCTCGTCCCAAGTCTGAATGGACACCCAAACCATGGCCGCCCAAGAGTAAGTCTGGTTTTGCTTTCACAGAGTCAGTTCTGCTTTCAGCATTGCAACTTGTCTTTTAGTATTCGGATGAGTAGTTTATAGTGAAATGTGAAGGTGAAAGATACATATACATAATCTTTGGCCTTTTGTTGTGGATATTAAATGAAAACCAATGCTTTTTTTCACATATCACTGATAGTAACCCTAAAAGTGTCATTCTCTGTGGCATCAGGACTGCTGATCTTATTTACTACACGTATCTACGAGATCCACTGCAGGTGCCAATAAATAATCCATTGTTGCCCTTCCAACACATAATTACAACCACAACAAAAGATATGTTGCCCTCTTAGTACACATTTCAGTCTTGCCAAAACCACATCCACCACATTGAATATTTGTATCATATCCAAGCTTCTCTAACACTCCTGCGTCTGAGCCAAACACTATTAAACGGTCTTATCTAAATGACTGCAGCATTAAAACACACTCTCTCATTCAAGTATTTTAAATAAGCGGACACAATGTGCTCTGCGGTCTAATGTGAGCAAGTGACTGTTGACAGAAAGCTTTATACAACAGCTTCAGGGTTCACATTTCAGATTATAATGTAACATTTTATGTTTTTGTTGTTGCTTTTTAGGTGGGGAGGATGGTGATGGTGAGTTTATATGTGATTTTGTCATAAACTCTCCATGATCTACCATAATAAATAACTTTGATATTTAAATTAACTTAAAGGTCTATGTAACACATCTGTTTGTTAGTGGAATCCATTTAGTTTGTTTTGCTAAAACTAACTTGTGCTTTAACTTGCATTGTCTGAACTGCTGCATAACAAGTATGTTTGAGTTATTTATGAGTAAGCTGTAAATGTATTATAGCTTTGTTTTCTGAGGGTCAGACTCGGAGGGTAACTAAATGGTCGCCCCCGAACACACTCGTCTCCTCCCTTTAAATCAATCCTGATATCTTATTGGGTGATAGCTGCAAAACACTGGACAAAGATTATGACCTGATCTGATTAATATTTGCTCTATGCCAAGTAGGATCAACTTAATTTTAAATTTTTTACAAATATCCTATAATAGCACTACAATGGGTGGGTAGATTATGTCATGGCTAAACTGTGAAAACAAAATTCTTGTTTATTGAGAGCTTAGAATAGAAAACCAGAAAGGTGAGCTAAAAAGGCAGAGGAAGCCTTATTTATTGGTTTTGAAGAAGTGCTGTACATTTTCTCTTGGTGTCGTTGAGATTGGATTGAATAGTTGTCCTCATGTCCTACCCTTCTAACCCACCTGATCCCCTGATCCTATTTGTCAGAAAGCCTGTTAATCAGAACCGGGTGTTGTTCTCTTTGACACTGTGTCACTCTCCTCTTGAATAAACCATTTATATGATCCGTTTGCACCCCTGTGCACTCCCATTCTCTCTCACGACCCTCTTCCCCTACTTATTTACCTGTGATCATCTAATTATCACTGCAGTCCAGTCCAGAAAGACTAGCCTGCTAATAGCACTAAGCGCAGTGGTCTTCTGCTTCTGCGGTCACATACTGTAGTCTGTCAAATGCTAAAACAGAGCTATGAAATCATGATATTGAACAACGAACTCAAAACTCTTAACTAATCTCTTTCCTTACTTTCCTAACTGTGTCTTTGTTCTGACTCTTTCCAGAGTAAACTAATTTGGACAGTCGGGGCTGGGCACCTATAGTCTTCAGTCAGGACTTTTTGGACGATTCTCTCCTGAGTTATTGTCATTATGAGTCCTGCTATTTCATTGAACTACTATTTATCTTTTTAAGTTCCTCTTCATACCATTGGCTTTGAAATACTTTTTTAAAATCAATGCTTATTATGGTGTAATACAGTAAAAAATGGTGAAAGACATGTAAAAGAAAGCATCCCTCTGTGGGTTAACTTATTAAACACGCACAACAAAACCCTTTGGTTGTCATTCTGTGTTGCTGGAATTCACAGAGTTGCTGGCACTGCTAGCTTTGAAGAGATGGTAAGGCTCAGCCATCTTTGTATTCCTTCTCTTCACTTGTCCTCCTAGCCCCTTTCTCCCTATTTTTTCTGTTCTCCCTTTGCTCTTTACTCCCTCCCTCCTCATTCTTGGGTTTTGCATGCTGCCTTCAGTGATTATGTTGTGAGTGATTTTGACAAAGCTGGATTTATATTCGTTGATATGATGAGGTATTTCCAGGTTGGTAAGATGGATACGTGAGAAAGGCATGGTGACAAAGTAAATGTTTCTTAGCTATGCAAATGTTCCTGGGAAATTAGCATAAATGACATATTAAATAATTACTGTTTTATCATTATTATTTTTATAATAATAGTTATTAGTTGCAATTTATTAGAGCAATTAGTATAGTTCTCAACACAAATTTTTCATTTGTTAATATACGGTCATCATAGATATTTTAAATTCTAGTACCACCTTACAAAAACTGTCCAGGTATTAATGTGTAGGTATTGCTATTTTGCGAGCTCTATTACTTCTCTATATTCATAAATGAAAAATCTGTATTGAAAATAGTGCTAATTGCAACAAATAACCTAAAGAAAAGTTTATTAATTTTTTTAGTAATGTAAGAAAAAATTGATGTAATATTTAAAGAATTATTATTTATTATAGAAGTCATAAATTGAGAAAAAATGCAATTATCTAATTTGTAAAAACACATCATGGTAGTATTAATTAAACTGAATTTAATTGATGAAAAAAATCATTCTGTCTGGACAGGGTGGTCTGAATTACTTTACAATAATGATACGGTATTAAATAAATAAAAAAAGTAAAAAATAATCTTATTTTATTTGAGAAAAATTTTAGGCAAAAAATATAATTTCATATCTTTTTATATTGGGGATAAATATGACCTGGTCATTTCTATGTGAGGTTCAAAATTAACTAGAAGAATGCTACAATAAATGAAAACGTAGCTAAATGCATAATTTTTCCTCATTTATTGTCTGTTTAGAAGAAGCCGGTGCAGAGGAAGGAGAGGTGGCAGAAAGCGTAGAGAGCGCAGCCGAGGAGGATGTAGCTGCTGAAGCACCTGAGGTCTTGCTGGAAACAGCCAAGGCCACTGGAGAGGAGACGGGAACCCTAGAGACCGTTGTGGAGGAGGTTGCCGAGATGGTCGCAGAGACTGCAGAAGTGGTTGCTGAGGTGGCCGGGGTTGTTGCCGAGACGGCAGAGGAGGTGGCAGCGGTGGCAGAGGAAGTGCAGAAGGTTGCAGAGGAAGTAGAGGCAGCAGCTGAGGCTGTTGTTACTCCGGTCGTCCAAGGTGAAGAGACGGTGTCAGAGAGCAACGGTACGCCACCAGCCTCCCAAGAGGAGGCAGTAGCCGAGGCTAGTAGTACAGAGGCCTGAAAAGGCTCATGGGTACTCAAACACTCACCTACACACACAAGAAACAGAAGATTTAAATGTCCTATAGTCTCACTTAATCCGAACATGTCATGCTTAAATCTCAAGGAAGAACAAAATATGGCACTTGAACAATTTTAGAGACTTGCTAGATTTCATTGCGGACCTGCAGGTCTCTCTATCAACCCTCAGTTTTCCTCCCTTCCAATTAGATTTAGTCATTAACTGAAGTTGTAAGGAGCTCAGTGACATTAACGGAATGATGGTGTATGTGATTGACTGTTTAGTCCTCATCGTACTGACACTGTACTTCCTCTGTTTCTATTGCTGAGTTATAGAACAGGATTTGATCCTTGCGGTGCAATAATGTAATCACACTAAACAGCACACAGCTGATTGTGTATATTTTTTAATTATACTCCTGGAGTTTGCTGGAATTTTTAAATTATATTAATGAACTTATATAATGATAACTGTAGAAACCACTGTGAGAATCCAAAGTTGCTGCTTTCTGTTACATTTGTGACCAAACATTCCAGTGGACACACTTCAGACTTTCTACTCCTGTTCTTGTTTCTTACACTCAGTTTCACTCTCTTGTCTTCTCAACCTCTCAAAATCTGAGCCAGCCTCCTGTCATTTTTAACTTCTATCCTGCCTTACCTCTTCTTTGAGGCACAACTGCTAGCCAAGACACAGAAAAGCTGCAAATGTACTGCTGTATGTTGTTATTTGTTCTGTAATAACTTTAACAGTGCAGTTATTGATTTTTGGATTTGTCCAAACATGTGGTTCTCTGCCAGATATCACTTAGTTGGTACACGCCAGTTGATATTGTGAAATCTGTGAGTCTTTTGCTCCCTAGCAACTAGGCCAGCTGTGTTTCTGTATTAGTTTTCCCTTTATATTCCTCTGTATGACTGATCTGACAAGGAACCCGGTTAACTTACCAAGGAGCTCAAGTATGTATGTGATTCAATGAAATTGTTCGTATACTTGGAAAAAATGCATTCGTGTAATAAAACTGAATAAGGGATTTCGAAGCCATTTAATAAAGTTATGGATAAATATCAAAAAGATATTCTGTGTTTAATTTTTTTTTCTGAACTCCATTTACAAACTGAAATATTACACATTAAACATTGGCAAGTTCATCCTCTATTTTAAAAGTAATATTTTATAAAAAAGCTGAAATTAGTGTAAAGATCGTTGGTGTCCTGATGCTGAACATTATAGTCTATGATATCATCCCTAAATTCAAAAATGTTAGAAATGTTAGACGTTTCAAATCTTAATTTTTGTGTTGATCGAATATGTGGTGTGTCCTTTTCTAGGTGATATTTGGCAGTAAAGCCTCTTCATGTACTGCATGTTTTGAATAATGGCGAAACTCCTGCATGGTGCTAACACACATTATGATTCTTGTAGAAAATCTCTTGCATCCTGTGAAAATACACACACCATAGATCACATATTAATGGACTTGAACTTTACTTAAGCTCTTTTCCGTGCTGTTAGACCTATCTCTACTGGAGTGAGGATGAACCTCTGCACTCTTCTATCTTTCCCATTGTGTCTGCATATAGATCCATCTGCAGTTTTAAACTACACACAATGCAATATAAAAAAAAATTAATATTTAAACTAAATCCTCTAAATAATTATTTTGGCACCTCAAACATCAGATTTTTGTATGATTATTGGATGGCTTGATTGTGTCTTGCAGTGGCCCCGTCAGAGTCGCCCAGCCCAGTAGATGCAGAAACAGAGCTGGCTGCTGCTTCTGTGGTCGATGCTCTTCCTGTGGTGTCTCTGGCTGTGGAAGACGTACCAGTTGAAGCTGTACCAGAGCAGCCCACGGAGGTGGCTTCAACAGATAAAGTGGAAAGTGAACCAATAATAGAGCTGACACCCATTGCTCCAGTGACAGAAGAAGCACCAGTTTCACCAGTTGTTGAGGATCCACCTGTGACTGTAGTGGTAGAAGAGGCTCCAGTAGCAGAGGAGACGCCAGTTGATTCACCAGTAGCAGAGGTATTTGTTGCTGCAGTGGCCGAAGAAACACCAGTTTCCCCAGTTGTAGAGGAGCCAACTGTTACTCTAGTGGTAGAAGAGGCTCCAGTAGCAGAGGAGACGCCAGTTGATTCACCAGTAGTAGACGTGTCTGTTGCTCCAGTGACAGAAGAAGCACCAGTTTCCCCAGTTGTTGAGGTTCCAACTGTTACTGTAGTGGTAGAAGAGGCTCCAGGAGCAGAGGAGACACCAGTTGATTCACCAGTAGCAGAAGTATTTGTTGCTGCTGTGGCCGAAGAAGCACCAGTTTCCCCAGTTGTTGAGGAGCCAACTGTTACTCTAGTGGTAGAAGAGGCTCCAGTAGCAGAGGAGACACCAGTTGATTCACCAGTATCCTCAGAAAAAGCATCTGATGTCCCTGTGACAGAAGAGGCCCCGGTAGTTGAATTGGTACAAGAGATGCATGTAGCACCTGTTCCAGAAGAGGTGCCAGTTTTCTTGGTAACTGGAGAACCTGAGGAAACACCTGCAGCCACAGTAGCAGATGAGGGTGCTCCAGTAGTCGTCCTAGAAGCACAAGAAGGTGAGGAAGTGAAGGCAGCAGCTTGTTCAGAGGTGATTGCAGAAAGACATGTTGTTGAGGAAGAAGCAGCAAGTCCGGTTGTGGATGTTACAGAAAAAATGGCTGAACCAGATGTTGTGAGCACAGTGGTGGCAGAAGAGGTTTCTCCAGCTGAAACATCGAGTGCACCTGAAGCTTTGGAAGACCCCAAACGAGAATTCATTGTGGTTGTCTTGGAGGGAGGTCCCAAAACAGAAAAGAAGCCAATGGTGCTTGGTGTGTCCCCCATGACTGGCAGAATTATCCCACCCCCTGATGATGGTGAAGAGCCATCGGGTCAGGTAACAGGTAATCTGGTTTAACAATGCAATGCTGAGTTAACTAGTTAACTTAATCATGATGATAGCAAAAATGTAGTTTAACCAAAACCTGACCTGAAACTAGCTGAATAGGGATTCAAAAGAGAAAGTTGTGAATACACATTTTTCTATATAGTATTCGAAGACATCCAGGGCATGTATTTTTAATGAATGCTCATGATAACCTCCTTTTTTATGATCTAAATGTTACTCTTTTATTTCATTCATAGGGCAAGCGCCATTTGCTTAAAGTGCAGATGTATTAGCAGCAACTAAAAAAGGTAATGTATTGTGGAAAAACATCATTTATATTGTGTGTGTGTGTTCAAATGTTTGGTTCAGTAAGATTTTTTTTTTTATAGTTATCCAATTTATTCAGATTGCATTACAAGAGATCAAAAGTGACCTTTACATTGTTAAGAAAATTTGAAATTCAAACAAGTGCTAAAATTGTGAACATTCTAGTAAACAAAAAAACGTAAATAAAATGAATCGCAGTATTCAAAAAAATAGTATTAGCAGCACAATTATTTTTAACATTGATAATAGGCTAATAAGAAATGTTTCTTGAGCACCAAATTAGCATAAAGGATCTTGTAACATTGAAGATTGGAGGAAATTCAGATTTGCCATCACAGAAATAAATTACATTTTATTAAATATATTGAAATGGAAGACAGTTATTTTTAACTGTAACAATATTATGGTCCTTACTGTATTTTTGATCAAACAAAAAACGTATCTTTTTAAGATCTTTCCTGTATCAAGATTTTGAATGATAGTGTACATTAACATGACAATTTTTGGTTTATTTTGTCTTTTTCTCAGTTTATTAGTGTCAGATGTCCTGGGATAGTAAACCAATTCCCTGATAAAGAATTAGTGATGTGCCTTCCCTATTGCCTGCGTCCACATTGAGCCCACCAACAATCTGACCCTCTGGATTTCAATAATCCTAACACCGGATACAGAATGCTGATCCTTCCCACTCTGCTCTAAGTACACCTCTCTTTCCACGGAAGCGTGGTTACTTGGTTACATGTGAACATTCACTCCTCTCTGATATGAGAGATACAGGTTTCTTGACAATTATAATATGCATGAAATGCTGTGACCAATCTTTTTAGGCTTTATAAATGGATTTATAGTCTTTAAGTCAACTGCACATTGAAGCATAGCCTACTATAGTTAATCCTACCTCAAACCTCACATTAGTAGGAATTGCAGTGTCAATAGTTACTGTACCAGCAATGATACAAATTTGCCACAAACACTGCCATACCTGCATGCTGGCCACCAGTTTTCTGGTTAAACTTCAGGTTGTCCTCCTATCTATGCTATTTTTACATTTCCAATATTTATGAACTTACACTAAATTTGATTTGTACCCTTCTACCTCAGCTTAAAATGACAGTGTTATTTTTACACATTAACAGTAACCATGCAGTATTGGTAACCGGCTTGCATTTAAAATGTGATATGACTAGGTCCAAAAACAACTGACAAACGAATTTTATTTATCAAAATAATCAATAAAATATTATGCCATGCCAAGTCAGAATTTCATAATTAATTTCTAAAGGCCAAAAGGCTAAATACACTGCTGCATCCTTTCTTTGTTTTCCTCATCTCTCTTAGTTTGTTGTATTGATCCATGAGTCAGTTAGTCATCATCATCATCATCATCATCATCAAACCAATGATTATAAAACATGTTGCTTAACAAGTGCATAAAGTACTTTCCTTGTGTCAAAGGCAATGTCTCCAAACCTGTTATGCAAAAGTTACGATTTCTACGATACCTTCAGCATCATATTTGATTCTTATTTGATTTTATTATATGCTATTCTCCTCTCATTCAAACTTTAGACTGATATTAGACATACTAAATTGATTCACAAGGGAAATTAAGATCAGATAAATACTCAGAAAGATACTTAACAATTGACCTAACAGTTTTGTCTTTTATTTCTTTAGACTTTTGAAAAGGGACCTTGAGTATTATGAGTATTACAACTTAATAATGTGAATGCGAGGGAATAATGTGAAGTATGTTTCCGTATCAAAACGGGTTTGTTCACAGTTTCTTTTGTCTGTTTTAATTGTTAGGGATGTAATATTCTTGTGCCGTTTTGAAGTTTCACTTTCACTGTAGGCCCTGAACTGGCGTTTTTAAACTGTGAATGTACTGTACATCAAAGAAAATAAAGAGTTTAAACACATTTCAGTGTGATTGTGTGTGACTAAGATTTAGAGTATCAGATTTGATAATCAGGCACTGTACAGTGCTGTTTATATATTGGATTTGACAAAGACACAATTTTGGTAAACTGGGTGAGCTGCATTGTTTGAAACATAATTAGCCTATAACAAGATGAGACGACTGGTCTGTACAAGCCTGTCCTACATTATTGTATTATCAATATGCCAATATGTTGGCTCCCCCTGAAGCATTTGCACACTGACTTAAACATATTATTTTGATATTATTTGGTGTGATTGTATTTGTATAGTTAACTCGTGTCATCATAGTCAAGCTATATTAGTTTATTATAATTTAAGCGCGCGCGCCACCTGACAAGGGTGTATGTGACGTCACTTACGGTTGCTGCGCACAGTGCGCATTTCGTCAGTCAGAGATCCTGCTAACGGGAGGCCCGAAACCAGCTACGCAAAACATTAACTACTACACTAACGCAGCCTTCCAAAACTCATACTTTTTGTATTTTACATCGACTAAATAGACATTTGTCTATCGCCTGCATGCGTGCTGTTTATCAGCGAGCAGTTCGCGCAAGTTGACCCGCTTTAACATCAGCCAGTCAATCTGTCATTAGCATCGTTAGCATGCTAACCTTATGACAGGGTGTATTCGACTGTCTTGAGGTTCACCAAACGACAAGAAATCACCACAAACGGTGAGAAATCTTATATTTGGCATCTCTACATACATAAGAGGTTAACGTAAATTCGTTTAGACTTCACCAGAAGGTTGGTAGTTTGTTTTAGTGTGGCTGTGTTTATACAGCAAGCTGTTTGTTTGCGCATCTAATTATTCGAGATAAGTTACAGTTTTTGTAAAAGTTCATCATTTGTTTGTATTGTTTTTTCTTTAAACGGTTATTATTTACATTATGGCACCTCCTTGTTGATAAATTAGTTGAAACAATATGGAGAATGAAAGCGCTGTTTTAATGTCAATATTAGCAGACCCCCTGACGCGCATTTTGTCTGTCAGTGTCTATCGGTCTAGTGTCAGACTCAGAGTTGACGGATAACACAGACGAGCAAAATTAAGCCGTTTAATATAAACGTTCCCTTTTTTATTGATCAATTGTCGCCTTTTGCTATTTTGCAGTTTTGCTTTGATTGTTATTGATGCACATAGTTTAAAACAATTCATATTGACAGAATGCTTAAGAAACCTCACGAAGTGCCAGATTAACTTTACATTTTCACTTTTGTGTAAGGTGAGGTATGAATAAGTAACTCATTTATAGTTCTTAATCATCTTAGTTCTCTCTTCAGTCTCTCAGAGTCTTTTATGTGGGATAAGGGGACATAAAATGGGCATGACCGTAGGGGTTTTTCTACTTAAAAAAAAAAAACCTTAAACAGTGAATATGACTGGGCTGAGATCAGTTTTGCTACAGGATACAGGCCTCTTCCGTTTTCTTGTTTTGCTTGTGCATGTGTTCCTTTTTTAAGCCTAAAGCTCTGCTCATGATCTTTGTTAGACAATATTACGTTTTTTTTTTGTTTTTTTTCTTCCATGCAAACTGAAAGGCATAAGATGATAGCCGGACATGGCTCAATAACCAAAGTTATCACATGATTGTAAAGGGCAAATGCCTTTGGGAGTTTTGTACATTTTAATTTCATAATGTTGCATACTGCAGTGCATCTACTAATGGCTGTTTTTTTTTCTCAGGCTGTGACATCACTCAAGGTCATTAGCAGAGGCACAGTGGATAAGTTCGGTTCTGACACAGAGGAATGAGTCATGACCTCTGTGGTGATAGTAGATGGAGGAGGGAATATATTGGAGTATGTCACTGGAGATGAGGAAGCACAGCAGGTGAAGTCTTCACACTCATATTAGAATGCAACAGCTAGCAACTTAGTGGCACACCAAACTGATGCCAAAGAACTAGCGCTGATGAAGTCCAACTGTGTTGTTACCTTGCATTTGGGTAAAAAAGCTGCACTTAAACACACCGAAAGGACTACAGCCGACGGTCAGCTAGCACGTGTGTTCTGCGCCTCAGTGTAAAGGAGATATTTGTCTTCCTGCTGATATATTTGTTTATATTCGTCATTCAAAAAGGGAAACAGGCCCTGAACTGCAGGCTGCAGATACACAATCCGTAAACAAAGCAGCGAGTGCGCACTGTTTTGAATGTCAATCATGCTGAACACTTTCTTTATTTCTATCTCATGCTATTATTAAAATATTCGCCAAGGAACACTCAGGTGAGATGATGTAAAATTACAACAGCCTTCTGTCTGTACCGTCTTGACTTCTTTGCTTGCTGTTTTGCTATTATTCTCGTGCACTGACACATTCACTAAACTGAACAGCCAATCAGAGTTCTCTCTCTCTCTCTCACTGATGGCCCGAGGCTGATTCTACAGCCTGAATCGGCCTAAAAAAAACCCAGACGGCGTCCGACTAGAGGCAACGGTGCAGAACACAAGTCGGCTGACACTCAAAAGCGGCAGATTGTCGGCCTGGTGTGAAACATGAACTAAATGCATTAAAATTAGGCAACTCAAGGTGTTTATTGTTGTTGTTGTTTTTTTTGACAGGAGGTTTGTCCTGATGGAGTGGAGCCTGACGGAGAAAAGCACTGTCCTGCAGTGATAGTGGAGCAGGTGAATAGTGCTGATTTGGAGCAGTGCTATGCTGCACAGGTGCTAGTCTATGACGATCAGAATACCTACCTGGTGCAGGACGTGGCTGAGGAACAAGTTGTGGAGACTGAGTTGCAGGAGATGGGAGCAGGTGAGCAATAATTCCACAGTTCATAGAGGATCATATTTCCATGGAAGGAAAATATTGTTATATATCTGCTTGGAAGACCAATCTGAGGTAGTCAAAAGGTGGTCTTGTTTTTTGCCTAACTGAATAATAGACCTAATTCTGAAAACCCTGAAATAGTATGATTGCATTGACTGGTAATTTTAGATCGATTTCCAAATGCACATATTGTTTTTAAGTAGTCTGAGCTTTTTCCGTTTTCTTTTAACAGCAGGAACAGCTAAAGAGAGACATCTTGTGGTGGCTTTGTGGAAGTTATAAAAGACACAAATTAAAAAACAAAAAATCAAAGCTTTTGCTTCACTAAGAAGAATTTGTGTAGGAAAAAAATAAAAAAAGGTTATATAGATTGCACAAACATTAAGCTGGATGTAAATAATGATTTTATAATATATTTTCTGTGCTCAGGGATACAAAATACTATATTAGCTGCCCATTATTGTATTGACTTTTTTTTTTTTTTTGAAAAGCAGAAAGGGAGGTAGAGTGTAGTCTTTGTAAAACAAAGAGATGCATGGTGCAGATATTATTAGTAATTTTGTTTACTAATAAGACTACTCCGCTTCGCGATGTATCTGAACACCAGTTCGATTTACTCTGCAAAGCTTATAAACAATAATAATAATATAAAATACATAACTCATCAAAATAGTGTATCACGTGATTTTAGGTAATGAGCGACTACTGCTAAAGTGAAGGATGCAAAAGCGTTTGACAACCAGGAAGTGAAGAGCTGTCGTTATCCCGTGCGCCAAGTTTAAGTAATATTAAATAATTTCTTTCTATTTTCTTTTATCGACACTTTTATTTTGTGTTCGTAGAGTAATAGGTGGCATTGATGTTGTGTGTATTTTATTATTATTTGTCGGTTGGAGAGTTACGATTTATTCTAGATGATTGATGGTGGTTGGCAGAAACCAGGAAGTGCGTTTGTTTTCTTTTTTTTCCGTCTTGGCCACGTTATCTGATATATTGTTTATAACATGATTTACTGTTTAATATGGTTTTGTGGTAAAGCGTGGAGCTAAAAATGTTTTAATAGTAGCAGTTTAATATTTGTACGATCTGGTTGTTTAAATCAGCTAGCTAACGGTTCTCTTCTTTATTGTTTTGATTGACGCAAACGATAATAAAGAGTTTTGTTGTAATATATTAAAAATTTTAAAGTATAACGGGCTTCGGTTATGTTTTTTGGTCATTAAAAGCTACATGCAAGAAATCTGAATTGATAGCTTTTGTTTTTATCAGATTTTCTTGAGATCGTTGCATACAACGTAACGTTTGCAACCCTGTGGTTTTATAAACTAATAACGTTTCGACTTATTTTCTGTGATGTATAGAGCTATTTAAAGACTTTCGCTAAGTGAAATCCATAACATTTCATTAAAAATGAAATGTTTTTCAGAGATGCTTTTGTTTTTGAAGTTTAGGGCGGAAGTGTATAGGCGTTGAGTGACAGGACGCCTGGCCATTCAGCGCTTAGCATTGAGTGACTCGTAAGCTGCAGTGTGGCCAATCAACACATCGAAATGCAAATATATTTTACGTGTACCGCCAATGTTATGAGTTTATGTGCATGAGAATAGTTATAAACAAAGAATGCTTTTTTAATCAAAAGTAAGCTCAATTTCAAATCGTCTGTATTAGTTGTTGTCCCTCTAGCATCTGTTTTTACACTACAACTGATTCTAAAAGGCGTTTATATTGTTTAGATTAGAACATGTTAAATTATATTATTTGTTTGTATCAGAATCTGCTTCTTTTTTTATTGCCAAACTTGGAAAGCAGACAATTTTTTTCCTCTTTCTTAGTGGAGGTCTCAGTGCATGATAAAACTATCGAGGCAGCTGAAGCGCTGCTCCACATGGATTCACCGGCCAGCTTGCAGGGGGATCGCAGTACAGGTGTGTGATTAAACACAGCATGTTAACATGTACCTCATGTCTTATTTGTTCTTAGGCTTTTTGTGCTGTCCTAATTTAACAAATTACTACTGAACACCTCTGTAAAACAAATTTGTATGAAGAGTAACACTAATGATAGATCTCTCTCTCTCTCATTCTCTGCAGAGGAGCTTTTGTCTGAGATGGAGGTGGAAGTGAGAACTGAGGAAATGGATTCTGTTGTCCTGCAGGAGGAAGATTTACTAAAGAAGAAGAAGAGAGGTGAACCACAGTTTGCTATTACCCCCTTTGAGACAATTAATTAACTATAGCAACGTTGGGAAATTAATGCAAGTCTTTGTTATTACATTGCATTTGAAGTGTTAAACTGCACCTGTGTGTAAAGTGCATTTGCAGCTCAATTTCTTAATTACAATTGAAAACTGTAATTGTCTAGAAGAGATTCATTTGTTTTGTGTGATCTTCACCAGCAGGACGAAAACCCAGAACTCCACGAAATTGCTTTGATGGTTCTCCGGATCTGGTCTATAAGAGGAAATCGAAAGACAGCAAGGGTGAGAGTTTCTGTTTATTTAATTATGCAAGAAAATATTTTTTCCTGGTGCCACAAATTTTAAGTCAGAGTCTTACAGGCTCAACTACTTACCTGTGGGAGTTCCTGTTGGACCTTCTGCAGGACAAGGAAACCTGTCCAAAGTACATTAAGTGGACTCAAAAGGAAAAGGGCATATTCAAGCTTGTGGACTCCAAAGCGGTGTCTAAATTATGGGGCCGACATAAGAATAAACCTGACATGAACTATGAGACAATGGGGAGAGCGCTTAGGTAATGTTTTGCCTGTCATTTTAGATTTATTTAATCAATGTTACCAGTGAGCAGAAAATGTTCCAGTACCCTTGTCTTAATTTTTATTTATTTTTTATGTGTGTGTGTGTGTGTGTGTGTAGGTACTACTACCAACGGGGCATTTTATCAAAAGTGGAAGGCCAAAGACTTGTGTACCAGTTTAAGGAGATGCCCAAAGACATTGTTTTCATAGATGATGACAATATGGACGAAAGCGTTGACGAAGAAAAGAAAGAAACCCCAGCCGCCTCTAATCGCAGCAATCCAAAAGGCAAAGGGGCACCAGTCTCTCCCTCCGCTGCTGTATCTAAAATCATCAATCTATCCTCAGGACAAGATGCCTTCATGACCGTGCAACAGTCACCAGAAAACACAGCAACAACCCCTGGGTATGATATCAAAATGTCTAAATTGGAACCTTTCTACTGCTAATAGCAGGCCCACACCTATCACAATGCTTTCTTATTGTTTGTTTCCAGGACAGTGAGGCTGGCCATGCAGGTTCCTGTTCTCATGACGACACAGGGTCAGAAATTCTCAACAGTAACTGTTAACTCACCCTCCGTCCGCTCATCCGTCCTCTCCATGCCCAACTCTGTCACTGGGGGTAACAGCGCCGGCAAAATGGTTCTTCAGGCCGTGCCAACGCTAGTGCCTGCTCAGGGGCAAGGCGGTGAAAGAATCACCTTGCAGCTCATCACCCTTCCCACCATGCCCGGAAAACCCGGCACTCCCATCACTCTGAGCACGTTTTCCCCCGTCACCGTGCCTACCAGCAACACCCAAGTCTTGAAGCTCGCCATCCCCTCCAACATCACCACATCCACCTCCACAGCTCCTGTAACCGTGGTGGCCTCGCAGCCAGGGGTGACCATGGTGCCGAACATACAGCCAGCAATGTCTTTACAGGATGTGACTATTATTAAGGTTGAATCTCCTGAGATTTCCGTGGATCAGACAGTTAACAGTGCTGCAGGGAACACGTCGAGCACACAAACAAACCCCACGACCACACAGAGCTGAGCGAACGTCAAATGTCACTGCACTCACAGGAACCGACATCAACACTTGTGACGGATACAAATGAAATGAGTGATGTAAAGACTGGCTGTCTTCTGTGAAACAGATGAGACCAGCACTACAGATCAGATGCTTGTTCACTCCCTACACTGTAACCACCACGTGTAGCCTCAAATCTCGATTTTGGAAGGCCTTTTTTCTTTCTTTTTCTTCTAATAATCTATTCAAATCATGCTTCGTTATAGTTGACCATCTGTGCTGTAATGCAGTAGGAACGAACCTCACTTGGTGCTAAAGTTTGAGAGTAAGTCATGGGTGAAGAGAAACAGCCAAGATGCTCGTTTTGATCACCTGCTAATTGGGATCATGAAAGAATCTGTGCATAGATGTAACTTTGCAGTAGTTAATGATAAATAAAACAAGCAGCCTTAGGTCAGCTTTTTCAAGTCATTACTAAAAGTAATTGATTATGCTTTCTGTAAATATGATTTATTTTTTATATTTTGTACCAGAAAGTGTTTTTTGTTGTTGTTGTTGTTTTTTTTGTACAGTTTAAAGGAAACTGTTTTCTGAAGGACATTTAAATCTTTTTTTTTCTGTTATCTCAGACTTTTTAAAATTTCTTTTTTGTGCATTTATCGCTTTGTGGTTTCCACCGCTTTTTCATGTGTACAAAAAAGGGAAAGAATGTCTGATACAATATATTGAATATTCAATATATGAAGCATATATTTTGTTGTATTCTTACTCCCAAAATGTATCCAAGTAGATTTAAATATAGAGAATTATGCAAACGGCTGGTTCAAATGATCTTTTTCTTTCTTTAATTAATGTGTAAAAGGTACTTTTTGTTCATTAGTCCTTACAGGGTTCCCACAGTCATGAAAAATCTGATAATATCAAGGAATTTTAAGTCAATAAAAATGGAATAATATATATATGTATATGTGTTCATACATATACATACATACATGCATACAGTTATTACAATTACTGGCAAAGGGAATTTGTAAATGTAAACGGATATTTCCTATTGACAAAAGAAATAAATATTAGGGATAAAATACTAACATTCCAAGACTTTTGCACAGTACTGTATATTATAAAGAAAGGTTGGTATTTCTTCAGTTAGAAATTCTGTTAATGTAATCTTGATCAAATTATAAACAAATAAAAACATATTCAGAAATCACAATTGACATGGAAAAGATGGAAATTCATCGGTCAAGGAAAAAAAGTTTGATCTTAGTAATTTCAGTTCAATATCTGTCAATTATGAAAACATTGCACACAACCAAATAAATATCAACAAATGTTCCCTAAATATACTGTATGAGATTAGATGCTCTACCATAGAGACTTAAGTCTGTGGGATATACAGGGATCACTGTAGCCTTGCTCTATATTTCCACTAATTGGCTCTGAGGGATTCGGGCCAGAATAGGTTGGTTTAAAGGATGACAATCTTTGGATCCGGATCATTAAAGTTTTCACTTATGCAAGGACAGATTTAAAAGGCAGCGTGAAGCAATGTTAAAGGGGTGGCAAAAGTATGATTTCACTTTTCTAACTTTAGTTAGAGTGTAATGTTGCTGTTTGAGCATAAACAACGCTCAAAGTTCAAAGCAAAGGAATCAAAATTCAAAAGAAAGTCACATTTCCAAAAATGTCTTATGATCAGGTAAGTAGCTTATATGCTGTTGATTTTTAAAAAATAATGTTACAAAAGTTTTGTAAAGGTGACATTAGACATAACAATTGTATTCATATCAGATATGGTAAAATGGTTAACATTAATAACTTGATCATACAATTTGAATAAAACTTTAGTTTTTAAGTCTTGCTAAGAGGACAATACTTACAGCAAAGTGTCAGGAGGACCGATCTAAATTTCCCAACACAGTTCAATTTTGCTTATCATTAAAGAATGAGACACCACACAATTTAAGTGCACTGTTATGTTTTGTATTATTGGTAAGTGGCAAACATATTGATGATTACAGTGCTACTAAAAGAAAAAAAAAAGTACAGTCAACTTAACGTTCTTTCACTTCTGGAATCTTTTAATTGAGAATGTGCTTTTTCCTGAGATCATCCTTTAGCACTTAATAAATTACAGTAAATTGCACAACCTCTGTGTAACAAACAAGAGCATGATAATAATTAACCTCTAAGGAAAATAATGTGCACAGGTGCATTAAGACCTACACAAGTAGGTAAAAATAAAGTTTATGTGAATAAGATAATTTACATTCTGAGCAATAATACAAATAATCCATTCTCACATTCATACAATAGATCCCTATTGGAGAGCACTAATGATTGACAGCTACAAGAGCCTATGAGGCTGCTGACTGAAGCTAAGGTCACACACCAGTGACAGATGATCAGAGGGGTAATGGTACGACGGAAGCCGGTCCGGCCCGATCTGCTCTTCACTCGGTATCCTGAGCACAGCGTCCACCTGGAAAGCTCTTTCCGAGTACCAAATGTAGTCCAAAGTGGAGCAGCTCTCTCCGCTGGGCCGGATCTTCCAGCTGGTGTAGGGCGGCTCTGTGGTCCCGTCCTCGCTCAGACTCTTGTAAGCGCTGTTTAGCCCCAGCGGAGAAGTCATAAAGCGCCTGTACACTTCCTCGCTCGGCTCCGCGTTAAAATCCCCACATACCACCAATGGAATACCCTCTTCCCTTTCCCCAACCCTAGTCCGGTTTTCCTGATCCATCTCTGGGTATGACTGTGCGGTTATGTCGCGGAGTTGCTGGAGGAGATGAGCCCCCTGTGCACTACGAAACGCCTCCCAGCCGCTCCGCGCTTTCAGGTGCGTCACTGCCACGCAGAAGACTAGACCTGTGAGCCGGCAGCGAAGCGTCGCCACGACGGCCACCTGGTTGGTTTTGAGCATCATGGCGGAGAGCCTGAGGTGAGTGGTGTGGAGCAGCTGGAAGCGACGGCGGTTGAAGAACAGAGCGCATCCGTCGGGGCCGTTGTTATTGTGAACGTCCAGGCAGGGAGAGCACGGCTTGGGGCAGAAGCTGCTCTGGTAACCCAAGCTGGCGAGCACGGGCTGGAAAGTGTCGAAGTAGTGGTCCACCTCCTGCAGGCACAGCACATCCGGCCTGTAGGTAAGGATCTCTTCCAGTATCAGATACTTCCTCTCAGACCAGTTCAACGCCTCCATCGGGCAGCGCACAAAACCGTCCTTGCCCTCACCCAGAGCTATACACAAGAAAAATGAAGAATTATGAGCATCGTATGGTAGCATTGCAGTTAAAGGTGAAGTGTGTTCAGTCCTAGATTAATACTAGGACTGTAGAGGTACTAGGGGCTCCTCAGGAATTTTGAAAAAATATATAATAATAATTACATTTACATTTATTCATTTAGCTGACGCTTTTATCCAAAGCGACTTACAATTGCTATATATGTCAGAGGACCAACTAGGGGTTAAGTGTCTTGCTCAGGGAAACATTGGTGTCTCACAGTGGATCTGAACCCGGGTCTCTCACACCCAAGGCATGAGTCTTATTCACTGCGCCACCATAAAATAAATGATTTTTGTCAGTCAAAATACAAGACACCAGCAGACAGTCTCTGTACCTTGTGCTAAGATGTTCCACTGCATGACGCGGAGGGGTGCGTTCTGCACCGAGCAGGCTCTGGTCATAGTAAAGTCTCGGTGCAGTCGAGGGGGCCGGTTCCTCAAAACCTCTTCACACTCACGCAACAGCGCGTCTGGGTCAGCCGGCTCATACTCGTAGTCGTCAGGATCCACTTGTGGGTCTGACAATGCAGTGCTGCTCAAAGTCTGGGCAAGAGTACTGAAGAGTCTACTGCTGCTGCTACTGCCCATCTGACACACTGCAAACAAACACACAACATGTTACACAACATGTTACACAGTTTTTGGAAAACTTTACATATTCATAATAACATATAGGTATATTCTAGGTGGTTTAATTGGACTAAATAAATAGTTTTTTCATGTTTTTAAATCATTTTTAGCGTTTTGCAGTTCACTTTAAAAGTCCTTCAGTGTGACAAATACATTTTACAAACATGGCACATGTTGCACATAATATGAGGATGTAAATGCTGCATGTAAAATACATATGCAAAAAAATTACTTGGCATGTTACAATGCAGAATCTGCCGTCACTCACTTTTACATAATACACAGTATGCTATGTGAAAGAAGACACTACAACTAAACAGGAGCCAATGAAGATATAAATAGTAACAGTGTACGGTACTCTGTGTGACAATATAAACAGTAGCATGATGATAGCACATGGTAGTTATTTAAAGTGTAGATATTAGGCCTAAGAACTGTCTGTTGTTGTTCATAATGTGTTTTACCTGGGCTTGTCTTAAATACAGCAAATATAATATGCTGCATGACTACACAATAAGCACAAAACTGGATTATTTGGTTATTTGCTACCTCGCAGTGTAGTGTTTAAATGTGGAAAATCACTTTAAAAGCATTGATAAGTTCACAAAATTGCATGGTTGATACTTTTGGGAACTACGTAGAGAGATGTCTGTGACTGTCTGCATCTGTCTGGGCTTGTTTCTAGTCTTCAAAAGAGGTTTAACAAGTTACGAATCACCAATTAACATAATTGAAGTCTGTGCATGTTTGTTGGCTTGTATGCTATCTCTATAGACAACATTTCAATAACCTCATTAGCAAATCAAACCTCAATGGAAACAAAGACATTGTATGCTAGTTAGATAATTCTGTAAATTATTCATCTTATTAATGGACAAAGGGTTAACTGCAGCCATTGGAAACTGCAGGCTACTGTCTGTCATGACAACTCGGCCTCACTCGAAGACACAATATCGAGAACAAACTGTGCTCTGTCTGGGAACACCGACTGATCTTTATAAGTGCTCGCTGTTTGCACGAGAAACTAAATCCGTTAAAGATGATGTGATAGTATGTCCCAAAGCTTGCCTACTCTTTTGCTATACACACTCAAAAGTATGTCCTTTTTCTTCACAAAAAGAGTACATACTTTTAGGGCGTAGTATAAGTAAGTGAATTGGGATGCAGGGTACGACAGACTGGTGCAGACGATGACTGTGACACTTAGCAAACACCCAGAAAACTCTAGCAACTGCACAGCCACATACTAAACACCACATAGAACACATTGTACACATTTGCCATCGCCTTGGCAACCACCAAAAACACTGTAGAATCAGGAGCCAGGTTTGATTGACTGTAGCACAAATTTTCATCTTAATCTAATTTTAACACTACCATTCAAAAGTTAAAGATACTTTTACTCATCGAGGATGCAATACATTCAGAAGTGACAGTAAAGAATTACAAAAATACATACTTTTAAAACATTTATACATTTATATATATATATATAAAGTAAAGAGTTGTTTTACATAATTCCACAATATTACTGTTTTACTGTATTTTTGATTAAATAAATGAGAAATTGTGAGCATAACAGACTTCTTTCATAAGCATAAAAAACACTACTGACTCAAATGTTTGACTTTGAACATTAGAGTACTAATATTTATAGTGTACTTATATACTTAATCACACTTAGAGTAATTATGTTCATTTAAATACTAATTCCGATTAATTGATCTCATCTTACAAATCTCATCTGACTCATCCTGTTCCACCTCTGTCTCCTCCTTTACCTCCACAAGAAAAATACATACTTCCAGTGTCTCTCTAGTCTCTACTTATATGTATGTGATTGTTTATGTCTTTGTCATATCGGAAAAGCATAATCTTTGTATTAGTTATATGTGACAAGTAAA